CATAAATTTTGAACACGACTATATTTCGAAACTCGCTCTTAGTAACAAATCTAGTTACTTTTCCCTGTGTAAATGCGTCTTTTCAATTCGCTCCTCCTAGTTTAAAAACAGAGTATAGTACTCTCGCTGTCTTCACTTTCTTCCGATGAACCCGTATTTTTGTTCGTAAGTAAAAGCTTGGCAATGCCGAAGTTTGGCTCACAATAATGGATCCATGTTTACGCGATAGATTCTGTTCGAATTATATTCTACAGCGTTGCCAAATTATTAAGCAATTGTATCTCTATATTAGAAAAACGAAAAAAATCGCCAAAACGCCACTGACGCTTAAATGGGATGGACCTGAGAGAGAGGCAAATTATTGCGGCCTTTGTCAGGTATGATGTGTGTTGCTTTTTCTTAGTTGAATCGTACTCTATATCTGATCGATCAGCTGCTGCGATCTAGTGTAGTATTAAAAGATGTAGGAATAATTACCACAGAAGATCCATCAAAAATAGTTCACAAAAATAAAGTGAGAAGAGAGCGAAAGAAATCTAGAAATGCCACAAGGAGTTTGAAAGTGATAAGAAGACTGTATTTTGATGGAAGAAAGGACAAAACTTTACTGCAAGAGATAAAAAACGGTAGATTATACAAGAAAACTGTTGTCGAAGAACACATATCGCTTATCGAGGAACCTGAATTTATCTATATTGGCCATGTAACTCCAACTACAGGGACGGCAAAGTCAATTGGAAAAGCAATATTGGACTTTTTCGCTAAAAACAATTTGGAACTAGATGATTTGGCGGCTGTGGGTTGCGATGGTACTGTTGTTAACACCGGTAATAAAAATTGTGTTATTAGGTATATTGAGACTGACTTGAAACGTCCTTTACAATGGTATATTTGCCAACTACACGTCAACGAATTGCCATTAAGACATTTATTCCAATATTTAGATGGCAGCACAGTGGGACCTCATCAATATTCTGGGGAAATCAAGAAGTCTTTAGAAATAAAATGTGAGTTGCCAAATATAACTAATGTTTAGAGATTTAAGTTCTGATCAATCATATTTATGACATTTTCAATGCAATATCAAGAGGCAATTTCACATAAAATTTAGCACAACGTAATCCTGGGAAATTAACTCACTCTAGATGGCTCACAATAACAAATCGTATTCTTTGGCTCTATGCTGGAACGGAAAAGCCAACATCAAGCCTTACGGATATAGCCGAATTCATAATTAAAGTGTATGCCCCAATATCGTTTACTATTAAACTAAATTTCAGTTCCACTAGTGGTAGTTTGCATGTATTTAAAACGATTGAACTGTCACAGTATTTAAGAGTTGATTTAAAAAGTATTGTGGATACGGTAATCCCAAGAAACGCTTATTTTATACACCTCAAAAACATTCTTTTGTGTATGCTTAGACACTCGTGAATGGGTTCGGGAACTATCTATACGAAGAATCTTAAAGGCTAGAGAAACCAGTTGAGAAACCGTTGAAGTAAGACACTTTGTGGTATTAAAAATTAATTTCAGTGCTTTGATTTGATTTTCTCTTACTATACGGAGAATGGTCGCACTGCGCAGCTTTCTGAGTGCCTTTTAAAAGGCGATAGAAAACTCCGCCATTTTGATGCCTTATTACGTGTTACCTACATTTTGGCGCAATATTTTTAATATTTTGCTTGCTGCTGTCAGTGTTACAGTTTATTGCTAAAGAATCAGTTAGCTTACTCGGACCAGTTGAAAGTTCCAAAATAACATCCACTCCAGGGACACAAATTCAGGATGCGCAGATATCTGCTGTTTTATTATAGGCGTTTGTCATATATTGTATTATCCGAGTTGCGCAGTGTATAAACTGGAACATTGAGATCAAAAGTGCCGACGCAGAGTGAGCGAACTGATTCTTTAGCTATAAACTGTGGTAAAGGCATCAAAATGGCCGCGCCCTATGTTGGGCGTGTCGGACCTCTCTCTTGCACCATATAGTAATCAAAGTAGTTAATTTACTGGAACGCTAGTTTTACCTTGTTGTGGGTTGCCAGATCATTTAGTATTCCAAGGCAGTTCCAGACAAGCTTTGACTTGATTCTGTTTGAATCAAGAGCATTTAAGGCTACTTGGCTATCTGAGAGAATTAGGATGGTTTGTTTTTTGTACTTCCTTCTTAAATTCTCTCGTACACACAATTCGATTGCATGTATTTCAGCCTGAAATACAGTGGCATGTTCTCCCAGTGAGACAATGATGTCGCATTTGGGTTTAACTCCATGTACGCCAGAGCCTGTTCCCTTGTTAGTTTTAGATCCATCCGTATACCACACGAGACCGCTAAGCAAGTATTTATCTATCTCCTTATTTACCTCGTTCCAGTTGACCTGGAAGTCTGTTAAAGGTTAGGAGGGGTGTCATGTGATCTGATCTCATATTTAATATAGAATCATTTACTTCATGTGTTCTGGTATGTTTTATATGTCCCAGTGGGTTCCAGTTGTTGGAAATTTCCAGTCTGTATGCACTCATTCTGGCCTACCCCTTTATGACTAGGTCAAGGGGTGGGAGGTTTAGAATGATTTCCATAGAGGCTGTCGGTGTACTTCTTAGTGCTCCTGTAATACAAAGGCATGCCAGCCTCTGTACTCCTGAGAGGGTATTGAGGGCTGTTTTCTGGTTTACTTTTGGCCACCAAACAACCGCGCATAAGTTATCATGGGTCTTGTTATTGCCAAATATAGCCAATGAACCATTTTTGGTTTTAATCCCAATGTTTTTCCAAATGCCCGTCTCCCTACTATGAGAGACATTTTACATTTGTTGGTCACTTTTTGTAAGTGTTGGTTCCAAGTAAGTTTGCTATCTAGGATCAGACCCAGATATTTTACTTGGTTCGTTTTGTTTAGCCTTCCTCCAGAGTCGGAGTTTCTAAAACCTCCAACCTTGTTTTCCGAGTAAAGGTTATGAGTTGTGCCTTGTCAGGGTTTACCAAGAGGTTTTCTCTAACGCACCACACTTCTGTCAGCCTAAGAGCTCTTTGCATGAGTTCAAAGACTGTGGTTTGGTGTTTCCCTCGGATAAGGATGACTATGTCATCGGCATATCCTTGGGCGTACCCTTGATTGTTTAGTGTTTTCAGCAGTTCATCTGCCACTAGGTTCCACAATAGAGGAGAAAGGACTCCACCCTGTGGGCATCCTCTGTGGATATTCACCTGCATGGTTTCACTGAACATTTGTGCCTGTACTTGCCGTCCGCATAACATGTCTTCTATCCACCAGCAGATAGTGTTTTCTATTCCATGTTTGCGAGCGGCAGCTACCATTGATTTAAAGGAGGTATTATCAAAAGCTCCTTCTATGTCAAGAAATGCTCCTAGGACTATTTCTTGGCTACTGAGTCCTCCCTCTATCTTGGTTTTCCTGATTGATAGGCATGTTGGTTTGTATGAAATGGCCTCTCTATCAGAGTTGTTTGCCGGACATGCTGATCAATCAGTTTTTCCAATCCTTTCAATAGAAATGACGTCAGAGTTATTGGTCTATAGGTCTTTGCCACGGCATACGTTGGACGCCCCGGTTTAGGTATAAAGACAACTCTGCTTTGTTTTCAGGTATTTGGTACATGTTTATGCACCAAACTTGCCCTGTAGAGCCTACAAATATGCGGGGCCAGCATTTCTATTGCCTGTTGCAAAAGAACAGGCAGTATCCCATCTGGTCTTAATTTCTCCCAGGATGCTACATTTATTTAAAACATGCTTAGTCATTTTTGTTATATTTTTTACTGTATACAACAAATTGCAATGACTGCATTTAAAGTTTTAGTCTCTTTAACAGAGTAAAATTGTCCACAACTTTTTTTAACGATTTCTTTCAGTCACCCATTTTAGAGACTGAGCAAAGAGAGTCACCCTGATGCCATCTAAAAGTGTAAACAAAGGGTAACAGTTAACAATGCTGCCAGACTTAACAATCTGTACCTAATATTATGTAATAGTAAGAATTTCGATGTTTCTAGCAAGATTCCTGTTTTATTCCCAGAAATTGGGGTTTAGGGAAATTCCTGGGAATTTTTTCCATTATCCATCACAACATATGTACACATACATATACCATAGTCAATCAACCCTCCATAGACAATACTAGGGACAAATATTCATTAATAATCCAACAACAGAATAGCCTGAACAAATAAAAGCTATGTATATATAACAATTAAATTGTACAACTTGGTTCCAATAAATAAGTCAAGTACTGCAACAAAGATTCAATAACAAAATGAAAGATTTTATTAACATTAAACCTATATTCAACTGAATAATTTTTTGAATCTGACCTGTCTGGGCAATCTTTGAGTCTTGGTAACTACTTAGGTCCTTGCAGATCAGAGAATTTTAAATTTGAAATGTAATTATATTTGAATTTTATACCTAGACTTTAATCTGGACAATGCTAAATCACATGGTATTTTTGGGCCTGAGAGTATGTCGTGTGTCTGTGGGTGCATGTGTGTGTGTTTATTGGATTTTATGACTGCAGATATAATCCATTAGGCTATTGTGATGCTAAATCATGTAAATTATAAAGATGGAATACTTAAAGTAATTATATTGCTATTGCAAACAAAATCTACCCAAATTTCTAGAAGGGAAATAATTGTCAAAATTGCTGGTGATCCTTAAACATGCATTCTGAAAATTTTGTGACATAAAAAAAGAACATTCTATATTTTTTGAAAATTACTTATTAATTGTTGATGGTTTGAACCTGTAATAATTTCTAATGATTCATTAATATCCTCATTAACTACTCTGAACATTTCTGAAAACTAAATAAACAAATCTAATAAAAAATATAAAGAATGTAAAAATATCCTATCTTATTGACATAACGACAATGATAAAAATCAAAATGTATGTCTCAAAATTTAAAACATGTAGCAACATTTTTATCAAAGCAACACTACATACAAAGCAAACTTAATATATTTAAAAGCCCTACCTGGATGCCCACTATTCACTGCCTTTGTTTCTTGTACATCTATTGTATCAAGCAACGTATTCACTTGATCTCGTATATTTCTGAGCTGCTTTTTCAAATTAGTAACCTCGTTCGATGATAATGCACTACTAGAATCATTTTTCATATCGGAATTAAGTAATATTTGTAATTTTAAGATCCTGCTGCACTGTATAGCAAATGACAAGTCATTACTCTCAAATATCGTAATTAGATCACCATCTGGAATATAAATTTCAATTAACGAAACTATTTTAACGGCGAACAAAGAATGGGGATAATCCGTTTAATATTTGCATATATGTAACTAAATATTGTACCTTCATCTTTGTATTTGATTGTGATGTCATCATTTGCCGATAATTTGCCCCTAAACACCCTCTGCATCATTAAAACCAATTCATCGTATGTTAGAGATTCGTTGTGAATCGGAATTCTTCTAATATCGTCTCCTAGTTGTACCTTAATTATTAATTTACCACTTAAATCCAATTCACTTTTTATCTCCATATTAAACTAAAAATTTCCAATTTAAAAGTTATTTAACTAGAATCTAACAATACTTACTGTTTCATTAAACGTTTGGATAATCCAAAGACTACAGTTTTTCTAAAGGTGAGTGAAACGATTAAAAATGGACAAAAACATAAAATGCAGCCGCAGCCGCAACGTCAAAAACTTTTTACACGCTGTCAAAAACACCGGCGTTGTCAAATCAAAAACAAGCCACTAGGCGATTTCTTCGGTTGCATAAAAAAATCAAATACGTTTTAATGACGTCACAACGATTTCACTAAACACTTAGCTTTAAATTTAGTAATGAAATGATTAAACTTCGATATGTAGGTATTAAAAAAAAATAAGAATTTTAAATAAATAATGAAAAAATGATTTAAAAGCCGAAAAATAAAAAAAACATTAAAAATGGCAACGTTGAAAAGGCTTTAGGGTTATTTGACATTTGAAATTGGTGCAATTGATATGAAGGGTTCTATTCTACAACATTGCCAAAACTCCTAATTCATAGTGAATCTACTGTTTTTGCTACTTGTTTAATAATCTTTTGTTATTAATTATTGTCTTAAAAAGGATATTTATAATGAAATCCGTTTTGTAATAAATATATAGTCAATTTAAGAAAGTTTTATTTTGTTGATGTCTTATTCAGGGTTGCAAATCTAATTTTTTTTAAATGTCTTGTCAATATTGGTACTGTTGAACAAAATGTCCATCTGGCAATACTGAAAATGCACTTGACATGTTGTTGACAATAATTGACATCCGACATTTCAACACAAACATAACCTATGCAAAAAACGGCATTATTTTTATGTGATAGTGATAAAAGATTGTTTTAAGGATAATCAAAAACAACCATTCTAAAATGGCTACAGACGTCCTTAGGAAATGTAAGTGTTCTCTTATAAATTCAGTTATCAATTATGTAATTTTTGATTGAAATTTTAGCCCCGCCGAAAAATAAAGAATTGGAAAATGGGGCAGAACCTTCTGCTCCTATTACAAAAAAAGGAATACTGACGTCCTTCTTGAATGGCAAGTCAATGAACATTCCAGAAACCGATTTGGTAAGATCATAATTATTAGGTATACTCTCAAAAATTTATTTACAACTAAAATCCTCATTTATTTAGTTGGGAAGATGCAGATTTGTAACAGAATTCGACAAATTAAACAGAATTGGCGAAGGAACTTATGGAATAGTTTGTAAGTAGTACAAATTTGTTTTTAGCAAGTACAAGTTTATAATGTTTCTAAATATCTGTGTTTTATGTAGATCGTGCAAAAGATCAAGTTTCTGACAAAATAGTGGCCTTAAAGAAAGTGAGAATGGATTTAGAACGAGACGGCATTCCAGTTAGTAGCTTAAGAGAGATTCAAGTTTTACTGAATTGCAAACATGAAAATATTGTGCATCTGAAAGAAGTTGTAGTAGGAAGGAGTTTAGAAAGGTTCAAAAACCCTCAAGTAAATTATTTGCCTTTCTAAACTTAAGTTTTTTTATTTTATTTCAGTATTTTCTTGGTAATGGAGTATTGTGAACAAGATTTGGCCTCATTGTTGGATAATATGCAAGCACCATTTACTGAATCACAAGTCAAATGCATTATGCTACAGGTTTTAAGGGGTTTGAGGTATTTGCATCATAATTTTGTGGTGCACCGTGATCTTAAGGTCTCTAATTTGCTCATGACAGATAAAGGTTGTGTTAAAATCGGTAAGTTCTGTGCTTTTTTGGTCTATTTTTTTTATTTTTATAATTTTTTTCTTCACAAAAACAACACTTTATTTAGTTAGGTACTACCTAAATCAAATATTTTTTAGAGAAAATAGTGCTGACAAAAAGAGTATTATCTGCATAGGTACATTATCTTAATATATTTTTTATATCTTGTAATCAGGGTTCGAAAATATCATGATATTTATATAAATATCATATCACATGATATATATCTGATATATATCGGATATATATCAACTTTAAAATTTAATCATTTAATTAAAAAACAGTATTGTTTCTTGCACAAACTATATTTTTAATTTTAACACAAACATATTAACAAAAACCTATATTCTAAACAACAAAACCGTTTATTCTAACTCAAATTAAAAAGAAAAACAAAATAATCAATAAAATAAACAGATTTTAACATTATTTTATTAACATTAATATTTTAACACAAACACATATAAATCGCTAGTTATTATACTTTTATGCAGGGGCGTATTGAGACATTTTCGGATGTTCAGAATGGTGAAAAACATTTTTAATTTAATAAATAAAATTACCGAATATATCAGATATATATCAAGGTATAAATATCATGATATATATCATGATATATATCACTTGATATATATCCTCTGAACCCTGCTTGTAATATTCTTGGATTTTTATATTGTCTTATCAGAATTAAGTTATAATATATGAAGTCAATGAAGTAAAAATTCCTTTCTTAAAATCAAATAATTTTTTTCAGCTGATTTCGGTCTGGCAAGATACTTTGGCGTCCCGCTCAAACCAATGACCCCACACGTAGTAACCCTCTGGTACCGAGCACCTGAATTACTCCTACAAGCCCCTACGCAAACCACCAGTGTCGATATGTGGGCGGCCGGCTGCATTTTAGGGGAACTACTGGGTCACAAACCGCTTCTACCGGGGCGCTCAGAGATTCAACAACTCGAACTCATAGTGGATCTGTTAGGCACGCCCTCTGACGCCATTTGGCCCGGCTTCAGTCAGCTTCCTGCTTTACAGAATTACTCTTTGAAGCAACAGCCTTACAACAACTTGAAGCAGAGGTTCCCTTGGTTGTCTGCTGCAGGACTGAGACTGTTGAACTTCTTGTTCATGTACGATCCTAGGAAGAGGGCAACCGCCGAGGAATGCTTGCAGAGTAGTTACTTCAAGGAAGCTCCACAACGTAAGCTCTTACGCTCTAATTTAAATTTTTCGATAATTATACAGCTTTTTTTCTCCTTTCTTTCAGCTTGCGATCCAAAATTGATGCCTAGTTTCCCGCAGCATAGGAACATCAAAGGAATCAAGACAGCCGCGCCTGAGCCTCCCAACACCGGAGCCGGTGATCAAACAAATAATTTACCTGCGATATCAGATTTGGTAAGGATTTTTCTACATTAGAATATCGATTATTTACTTATTATCATAAATAATTTCATACTTAAATATAAATCACTATAGTTATGCTTCTAATATTTTATTTCCTAACTTTAGGCGAATTTTGTAGCTAACTTTATATTTAAGTAAATGACGTTGATAACAATAAAATATATATTTTTGGAGGTTATATCAAAAAGCGGAATAGGTAAAAATTCTGTAAAATGTAATACACTAAATTAGTGATGGTGCAATTTTGGTTCCATTGACAATTAACAATTGACAATTAAAGTAGACTTTTTGAGAGCATTTGTTCGTTTTGTTCACCTAAATTGCATAGTTGTTGACCTTTTATAAATATATATATCCAAAGTAAGTAGATAACATGCATCAAGTCTTTAATCTTTTATTAACCATATACTTTTAAACTATTTTTTATGACCTGGAAACAATATTTAGAAAAAAAAAAACTAAAAACAGTAAAAAAGTATATGTCAAATTCAATGATGTTTTTGTTAAAAGTTTGATTAGAAGTTAACTGTCAGTGGAACCAAAATTACGTCACAGTAATATGGCTTACTAAAAATTAACACAAGAGGTAGTGTAATTTATTTATGAATAAAATGACGTTACAATATCAAACTGATCGATGTAACATTTATATTTATTAAAAATACTTTTTATTTTTGGATTTTTCTAAAAATACGGTTTTTTGTCTGTTTCAGCTGGGATCGATAGTGAAGAAGAGAAGGATCGAGTGATTTATAAATATTGTTTAAAGTGTACGTGTACGTTTGAATGCATTTAAGATGTTAGAATGTAATGTGTGTTTTCAACAAAGTTGAATAAATATAATATCAAGAATATCGAGTAGTTTTAATTTTGAACCTATGGCGATTTTTTCAACGTTCATATACTTCTTCTTTTTCTTGCATTTCTATTTTTATTGTGTAATTCATCCTGTCCCGATCATTTGCCATTAATGCGTCAATTAGTTTTCCCATACGATTTGCCAATATTGAAAAAATACCGGTGTTACTTCCGAATATTTCTTTGGTAAAAATGTTCTGTAGCATATGTCGCTGGTGTTAGAAGAATTGGGTTCTTTTGTAGAAATAACTAACGAGTCATAGGTAGTAGAAAAAGAATTGTTTTTAATTTACTATTTTCACTGAAGTAAATAAATAGTGGTTGATTCCATTTAGATATAATAATTTTCTTATCTTCACTAAACACTTTTAAATATTTACAATTTTAGTTCATCACAATTTGATTAACTAATACAGTTGATTTTTTAGTTACCAACTTGAAAACATTTGTTTGTAGAATTTCTTATGCCATAATAATTGTAGGAGATATAACTTGCACCAGAAAATAAATTGCATTAAACGCTTGTAAAAATGTAGAAAGTAACGTGCCGTCGGCAGAAAGCACCTGAACGCGATGATGGCAAAAGGACAACTGAATCGTTGGTGGCAATAAGACAACTGAATTCGTTGGTGGCAATAATACAACTGAATTCGTTGGTGGCAATAATACAACTGAATTCGTTGCGTCGAGCTCACCCTAATATATACTGTTGGGACGAAATGAGTGTCCTTGGCATAGTTGACGCACCTATTCGGTTTCAACCAATGAAAACATCATGACATAATGAAATACGTCATTTGTGTTTCGTTAACTATGCGCCGGACACTCATTTTGTTCCACTGTACAGCTGTGCACGCAGGTGTTCGACGTTCGATATTCTGAAAAAAATGCTATTTATAGTTTTATGACTTCACATTATATTAGGGTAAAAAGCAGTCGAACTATTTGAGAATTGTTTATTTATTTAGTAGATGTAAAATATTAATTTGTTGATGTTTTTACTGGTGAAATTGTAGAATTTAACCACATATATTACATTATCGGAATTCTTCCTGTTCTGGTATTTTTGCTTTGGTGCATTATTAAGTTTTTCCATTGTTTCCTCTTCATTGCAATATGAATAATAATAATAGTTTATTATTTACCATATAAAGCAAAAATATACAAAGTAATAATTATAAATATACTTAAGTTGGAACCATATGGAGAAAATTTTTATTATTGATTTTAGGAAAAAAAGTTATTCTTGATAAAAAGTCCTGCATGACCCAAAACTAAAAATATCAAATTTTTCAAGCCGTATACAAGGTTTGTCCAAAAATATTAATTTTACTCAAGAGTAAAGTATGTTTATTTTTAACAAAATCGAAAATTTTTATTAAGAAAAGTTGATTAGATTTGAACATTACATTCAAATATGCAATTACACTCATCTATCTGAAAAATCAGATTTTTTTCTAGATTTTGCATTGATCCACCTAATTACGGTAATCCATAATTTTTTTTCTCTCTCTTCTCTACTATAAATATGATACGCTTTGCTTTTCTTGATGTTTGTGAAGAATTTAGAAATTTTCTGTGTAACATGTTATATTTTTGAAACGTTTGAAATATTTCTGAAACACTTCTGAAATAATGTGTGCTGTATGGGTTGTGTCCGACAGGTCAATACACTGGCGAGCGGGGAGAAGGATTATCGACAAGTCAGTGCCTTGCCGATGGGCCAGGAAGCCTCTCGAGTCAATACCTTGCTAGACTTCCTTCTTGGGCTTTTTGGTCGGCTCTATATATCCACCAGATCTCTGTAAAAACTCTACTTGTTGGAACCATGGGCGTATCATTAGCGGTGTTCGCCGGGACATAGTTATATACACTCGTTCAAAAAATATTTTATTTTTCATAAAAGGAATTTGTAACGTCTGGTTCAGTTTTTTAGCAAATCTTTATTTTAATAAAATGCTCATGAATTATTAAATCTTGAGGAGGGAGACTATTTTTAAAAACAGAGAAAAATGTTACTTATTAGCAAATATAAACAGCCTGACACATCCGACAAGTCTAATAGTAAAAGGCCAGGCGTGACTACGAGCGAAAGGGCATCATTGTGATTCATAGGAGGATACTTCTTTTTAAACTGTGTATATATATCCTGAAGATTCAAGATGTCTTCCCTCTAAGAATCGACACGTGCACCAAAACTTTCTCTTTTTTTATCGTAGCAGGCTGAATGACTTTATCGACAGGCGATAACAAAAATAGCAGGACCGTACTGGTTGAAAATGGCTCGCACGACAATAGTTTTTTGATATTTTGCTTAGTTTTCCCTTATCCTGCATGATAATTATTATCCATCTTAATTTTTGTTTTCATGTCCTTAATATTTATCCAATTTCTGCTTTTAAAATGAGTAAAAAAATAAATTTAAAATACAATAGATAAAAAAATATTTATTGGAGATTAGAAAAAATATTTAACAATACAAAATTCATTATAATAATGTTCAGATAAGTATATTATTTTCTTAACTTAAAAATATTTGAAACACATTTAACGTCATTTTTCGTGCTGAATCTTATACTGAAAAAAAAAAAAAAGATTAAGTAAAACATGTGAATAGTCCCTAAAAGAAAATTAAAAGAACTAAAAGTGGTTAACGGCTGTGTGCACGTAGCTTATAAGAGCAAAAAAAGATTTGTATTTGGTGCAAAATCATTTATTTATTTAAATTGCAAAGCGCTTTTGGCATAACGCTATCTGCAGTGCTCATCTACAAAGAATGTGGATGTAAATATATAAAATATGTAGATATAAACTGGAAATTTGAGTCAAAACAATTTAAAAAAAGAGTTTTTAAATAAACAGGGAACATATTAAAAAAAAATTCAAATTATAGAAAAACCCTGTATTGGAAACAATGATTAGGCCCTTATTAACACTTAATTATTCAAATCGAACCTCAAAGAAGCATGTTCTTGTTTGGTTTACAGCAGTGGCGGCTCGTGGGCACTAGCGGCAGTGGGGCACACACTGCAAAGGAATCCCGGGATTCGTTTTTCCCTTAGGTAAACAAGTTCTCCGTTTAATGAAAATTAAATATATTTTTTTCGATTTTCGATTTTCGATTTTCGATTTTCGATTTTCGATTTTCGATTTTCGATTTTCGATTTTCGATTTTCGATTTTCGATTTTCGATTTTCGATTTTCGATTTTCGATTTTCGATTTTCGATTTTCGATTTTCGATTTTCGATTTTCGATTTTCGATTTTCGATTTTCGATTTTCGATTTTCGATTTTCGATTTTCGATTTTCGATTTTCGATTTTCGATTTTCGATTTTCGATTTTCGATTTTCGATTTTCGATTTTCGATTTTCGATTTTCGATTTTCGATTTTCGATTTTCGATTTTCGATTTTCGATTTTCGATTTTCGATTTTCGATTTTCGATTTTCGATTTTCGATTTTCGATTTTCGATTTTCGATTTTCGATTTTCGATTTTCGATTTTCGATTTTCGATTTTCGATTTTCGATTTTCGATTTTCGATTTTCGATTTTCGATTTTCGATTTTCGATTTTCGATTTTCGATTTTCGATTTTCGATTTTCGATTTTCGATTTTCGATTTTCGATTTTCGATTTTCGATTTTCGATTTTCGATTTTCGATTTTCGATTTTCGATTTTCGATTTTCGATTTTCGATTTTCGATTTTCGATTTTCGATTTTCGATTTTCGATTTTCGATTTTCGATTTTCGATTTTCGATTTTCGATTTTCGATTTTCGATTTTCGATTTTCGATTTTCGATTTTCGATTTTCGATTTTCGATTTTCGATTTTCGATTTTCGATTTTCGATTTTCGATTTTCGATTTTCGATTTTCGATTTTCGATTTTCGATTTTCGATTTTCGATTTTCGATTTTCGATTTTCGATTTTCGATTTTCGATTTTCGATTTTCGATTTTCGATTTTCGATTTTCGATTTTCGATTTTCGATTTTCGATTTTCGATTTTCGATTTTCGATTTTCGATTTTCGATTTTCGATTTTCGATTTTCGATTTTCGATTTTTTGATTTTTCGATCTAGAAAATATCGTTATGAAAAGTATCGTCTATCTTTAGTTATCTACCGGAATGTGCCAGAATTACAAAAGCGTGAATTATCATAATTCACTCTGTGATATTTGGGTACTATATGCTTTTAGTTAGGAGATACAATATTGATTTATTATTAGGTGGTCGTGGACAAAAGTTGTTTTTGACATTCGAAAATAGTTGAAAAATTTAGCATTGTCACTTTTTAATTCATCTATAATAGTATGAAACTGCCCAAATAATAAACTTTCAGAAGTAATGAAGTTGGTCCAAAATCCTCTAGGTTTTTTACGCAAATGTCGTTTTACAAGAAGCGCTAGAAGGAGTACTTCCTCGTCTGAGACCATAATGACACTGAAAAATGTTCATTAGCTTCCAACATGAGCCTACTATGGAATCGCGATACTCGGTAGCTATCACGTCCACACGAACGACCAGTGGTCGCCACTCTGAGGCGACACCGAGTGGCCCATACACGCCACTTAGCAGCGCGACTAAGTGGCGCCACAGAGTGGCTCGTCTGGACAGGCCCCTTTTGTCAAAAATTCGAGTTTTCAAACGTTTATTGTGTATGATTCCTTCCATCAAAGTTTTTTATGAGTGAGTAGACAGTAGACTTCAAGTTAATATGCGAGTTTGCGCACGACGTGTAGCTTAACGAACTATAAAACGCGCTCCTCTGGGAAAAGTGTCAGATAGACGGGGGGGTTTATAGCATATGCGCATTTTGTCAACAAGTTACTGCACATCGAAACTGGCGTACGTCCGTTTTACAATAGCACAATTATATTTTAATAATAATAATACTCCCCCTAATTCACCTTCTTACGAGTGAATTTTAACCCCAAAAGCTGAGCTTGTCCGGAGAAAGGGACGGCTAATATTATTATTTGCCGTGGCGCTCCGGGGCGACCTAAAGATGACTGATGGTGCCATTTGACTTACAGGTGAGGAAAACCCCACCCACCATCATCGAAAACGGTAACGCATGGTGATTTTTAATAATCTGGATGCATATCAATAGAAATTAAATTTCTGCTAATACGGCATCCATCAAATCCTATAGAGAACCATGCAAATAAATTCACATGGTCTTCCAAAGAGACATTCATAAAAAATTAATTTAAATTACTGCTTATGCCTAGTTTAAGTTCATAAAAAAATATTTCTAAATAAAATGCGTCATATATCGATAAACTGTACACTACCTTTGGAATAACTCTTTTGAAGAACATAATAAATTTGGATGGTTTGTCTGTTTTAACTTTTTTTTCTTTCTCTTCCTTTCTACCACTTGTACCGCTCGTTTCGCCTCGCATTTCAGTGTCTTTTTTATTATCATCCGATTTAACTTTTGCATCTAGCAATGAACGCAGTTCACTTGATGAAGAATACTCTTCGGAATTAGAGGTATTCTCTTCTTCGGCGATAGAGCTCTTGTATGAAGACGGTTTTTTGCATTTGTAGCTGCCTTGCCAACGATCTCTCTTATCTAAAAAATTGAAAAGGCTCATATGGAACTCTATACAAATACTCAGAATATGCATTAAAATACAACTTAGATCACAAATAGTATAATATTTGAAGCCATCTTAGAGCCATTTCAAATACTCTAGAGCTATTCCGCCCAGAAAACACAAATATGTTAATTGGACGTCCATTCGATATACATTTTTCAAAGGCTGGACGTCCAAAAATTAGTTTTAGCTGGACTTCCGATGTCCAATGGATGTCCAGTCGAGTATACAAATGGCACACTTTTGATCATTCAGAGAACGCTCCTTTCTGGATTATATTCGAACACGGCACATTTACGCAATGAACGTTAAATAATGACTAATGGACGTTCTTTGAACGTATTTTTATAGGATACTGGACATTCAAAAGAAGTTCCTTTCTGGATTATAATAATTATTGTATATATATTGCATGTTCACGTAATGAACGTTAAACGATGATGAATGACATTATATTACTTGAGACCCTTAGATTAAAGAGACTGAAGATGTAACATTGCACACTGCGCATGTTGTCTATTTTAACCCCAAGTAACCCACCAATTGAAAATCATTGTTTGCACGACGCCACCCGAATTGCTCCGATTTTTCATTCAACGCTCACCTCCACAAAGCACGTATCTTCTAGAGACCCCACGCCAATGTTAAACTTTTAAACCAAATTAGCGCCACCTTGTGTTTGGAGATGGAACTAAAATGACAATTGACAGATGGCGGTAAATTCAAATTGTAATTTTTAGGAGTAGGTAGTAGTTTTAAATTAAATTTTAAATGATTTCTACATAAATTATTTTATAAAATAAAGAATGGAACTAGTAAGTTCGAAACTTTTATTTTACAAAATAATTTAGGTCGATTATACCAAATTTGAGGAATTAATTTGTTATAAGCAGGGGTCTGATGTGGAGAGTTGGTTCTGCATATTATTATTAAATAAATATAAGATATATCAATAAATAATAAAATAGAACATTCTTAAAATATGTTTATTAATAACTTAAATAAATATTATTAGATAAAAATAAATACAAATAATAATACATATTTAACGAATACTTACTTGCAGCAAATAGGTATACAATCTCAAATCTATAAAATACCTATCAATAATTTAAATGTGAAGTAGAGACTAGGATATTACATTTTATTAACACTAAAATAATAATATATTTTATAAATGTCTTTTAAACCGAGGACAAATGTAATATAGGTATTGTATTAAAAGGTGAATCCTTTTAACTATTCATTCAATGATAAATAGATATTTTCCTTCCAAATACAGATGGTGGTATTACTCCACTGCTTTGTGTATTACTCTCTTATGTGAAAAATGATTTCGGAATCTAGTCCAGTGATAAATTGATTATCAATTAGTTGTTATACCCGTTTGTCTTTTTATGATGGAGATGCATGGTGAATCAATGAAGTTTTTCTCGAAGTTTTCAACGTAGCACCCACAGGTAGCACCAAAATTATTGCAAAACACAGTAGGAAATAGAAAAGCAAAACATCACAATTTTGCAAATAACTAAGACGAAACTATAAACAGAAACCAAAAGCAAAAGCCAACAAAAAATCACTAAAATCAGACGGGAAAATGAGATTAACCAAAAACATAAATAAATACACGTCACATCTTTGGAGTCTTTGGTTAAGTTTTTCTCCCATAAAGCTTAAAAATGGAGTAAGAAATCAGAATTTTACCAGTAGCCCCATCTAGAGTTTGGAGCAAATAGCATAAAAAATGTCAGTTGTCGGTTTTGACCTTGGTCATTCACGTGCTTTGTGCTCACCTCTATGTGCTTTGTGCTCAACAATGAACTGGAGTGGGGTAGAATGCTTGTCAATAGGCTTGACATGCGACTCTATGGGCAAAGACAGGTTATTTTTCATCTCACTCGGGAGTATTTATAACAACCATTTTCTATTTCACTTTGTTATTGTCTGATCCACCAGCATGTGGATTGAACAATAACAAAGTGAAACAGAAAATGGTTATTATATAAATACTCCCGAGTGAGATGAGAAATAAAAATGGTTGCGCCCATAGAGTCGCATATTGTTCTATTGATACAATATGCACATTGGCTTTCTACCCCACTCCAGTTCATTGGTGCTCACCTCCGCCTGAGTTCAATGACCATTGACAGCTGTTATTTGATTTATTTGTTGGAATTTTAGCAATTTAAAGTGTTCTAGTTATTTAATTTCAAGTTCAAAATGCCTCGATTTATCTTGAAAAATTGTATATACTTATAATAAAGTACCAATGTTATGAAAGATAAAAAAATATTCGTTTTCAGCGGTAAATATTTATTAACTTTTTGACATAAAGCGGCATGATCCTTTGGACTGAATACTTCAGATCCGCATTAAGGGGTTTCAATAAATATTAAGCATCAAATACATATTTCAGAAAACAGATTTCATATTACTTACATAAATATACAAAAGGGTAAAATTTTGAACATTTAATTTAAATAAGAAGTAAATTCCAATTGTTGTTAACGAAATTTTGTTTTTAAAAAGTAGTTTTATAAGAATATTTACTAAAGGTGGTATTTAGCCCTTTTTGGTAGATAAATAAGTAAAGAAGCATAGTTGCTAGCTAAATTTTATTTTTATACGGTATTTTTATAAGAATATTTGCGGTCAAATCGAAAGTGACATTTGAATCTTAAGTCTTAAAAAAAAAGTAAAACGCACAATATGATCTAGTATAAGCAAAAAAATACTAGAGTTACGGGAGTTAGTCACATTGTTAATAAAATGTTACATTACAAACCGCTAAACAACTCGAGCAAAATTGTCGTTTACTAAAAAAAATCCAAATTCTAGCAATATTTATTATGTATTATACAATCGAATGCGGTTTCAAAAATAACGGGATCAAAAAATCCGAATCTCTAAATTTTGGAGCTAAATGCTCGGATAAAAGCAAGCGACCGATAATAATCGATTTATCAATTATTCTGATATTTTTTTTATAAAAATCGATTTATCCCTTATTTTTAATAAATTATTTTTGTTCTATTAGATAATGTAATCGATTTTAAAAGAAATGCAAAGAGAAAGTAGATTTATTCAAAATATTCGATTGATTGAAAATAATCGATTTTTTTGGAAAAATCGATTTATCGTTTAATCGTTTTTTTAATCAATTATTCGATTATTTTCGTTTTTTCAAAGGTATTATATGAAAATAATCGATTGATCGAATATAATTGGTTATTTTATATAACCGATATTTCGGTTATTTTTTAGAATTATCGATTTATCGGTTAATCAGCTTTTTAATAATCGATTATTTTCGATTTTCAAAGATAATAGAATAATTAATTTTAAAAGGATTATTAGAAAACACTTGATAGTTCGGTTATTTTTTGGAAAATAGATTTATTGTAGAATCGATTATTGGTTATTTTCGATTAAGCGATTATTTTGGAATAATCGATTATTTTGGCATTTCAAAGATAATCGAATTATTGATTTTAAAGGAAATACAATAAAAATAAATTATTGATAATAATCGATTGATCAAAAATAATCGATAATTCGTTTTTTTTTGAAAATCGACTTATTAGTTAATAGACTTTTTAATTAATCGATTATTTTTGATTAATCGATTATTTTCGATTTTTCAAAGATTATCGAATAATCTGTTTCAATGGACGAAAAACAAAATGGATTATTTAAAATAAACGATAATTATTTTATTATTTTTTGTAAACACTGATTTATCGGTTGATTGGCTTTTTAATTACTCGATTATTTTTGATTTTTCAAAGATAATCGAGTAGTCGATTTTAAAGGAACTACGATAAAAAAATAGATTGTTTGAATAATCGATCGATCGACCGATCGAAAATAATAGATTATTTTCAATGATCGATAATTTATTTCGATAATCACCCACCCCTAGCGACCAAATGACTTTTAATAGGATTAAATTTTAAAATGTTATCGGGTTTCAGACATATGCATTTCTAGAGTTTTATGTGACTCATCGTCTATATTAATTAATATTCCTAAAAAAGAAGCTGAGGTTACAATACAAAACAGCATTTTCCCATTTTGACTAATTTTTAATATTATGTAATAGCCGTAAAAAAAATATAATGTTTAACTCACAAAGTTTGATTTGCAGTATTCGCCTGCGCACATGCTTTTTTTTATAATACTCGTAGACAATGAGTACCATTTCTTGCTCTATTAACAATATTCTAGTTCAACATTTTACTGTAGTCTCTTGCTGAAAAATCCGTAGTAAATAAACGTTAACGAAATATTCTATAAAAGGTCTTCTCTTTACATAAAATGTGGCATCTGTTTGATATTAAAAAATCACGTTAATTTTATTTCATGATACAAAATTCCATTAAACATATACAGTTCATCAAATTTCTAGAGGCTTTCGACGGCTAGACAGAGAAAGCACTACTGACAGGCATCCCGACGGATTTACGCAATGAAAGTACACTCTGCGCATCAAGTATTTCACTATTTCATTCAGACGTAAATGTCAGATGTAAATTTCGCTAAAACATTTCTTTTATTTTCGTTTGTGTTTTTTGCTCATTACAGTTTAATAGAACCTAAGTATGGAGTTTAATAGCAAATTAAGAGGCCGCGTGATTAACAGTCAATCTCGCGAAATAATAGCCAATGTTATAGAGTTTATGAGAAGAGAAGGAAACTTTAATTCACCTTCAATACCATTTAAAAATGTAAATGATCGTGTTGCTGCAGCCACAGGAGTATCTAAAAATACTGTCGTCCGCATTTCTGGAGAGAAAAAAAGAATCGATAACCGTGAGATATCGGAATTTTCATCACCAAGAAAAACCATTAAAAAACCAAAAACAGTTAATGATATAGATGAAGCTGCACAAGAATCAAATTTTATTTTTTTATTATTAGATAGCTATTTTTGTTTCTGAGTTGTGTTCATTTACAGGCTCAATTTTTTTCCGTTTCTCCTTTTTGATTTTATATGGGGTTTCAAGTTGTTTTTGACTTATTTCGACGTAAATCACAACAACACACTTTTTTAATAAAGCAAACAAGTGTTAAGAGGTATATGAACGTGTAAACTACAATTACAAAAAATTGATATGAAACCCATGAAACAACCAACAAAAATGTAAAGCTAGCCTCCGTACTAGAACATGGTGTCATTCGTCGAGATAATTTATCGTTTTGTTTAATAGATCAAGAAATGTAAATATTCCCGTTATTTTTTATAAAATTATAAGAGAAATAATTTTTTTTCTAAATAGTATAGTTTATTATTTTGTAGAAAAACAAAATTTCGAAAATTTTAGTAATGTTTCAGAAACAACCGTTATTAATAATAGGTACCATTTTCCTTAATAAGGTAGAAATAAAATATAAACTATTTCCACGATTTACAAAGGCCTACAAAAAAATTATAGGTATTTTCCGCTATCCTATAAAATTTATATTTTCTGACTCAATTTCAAAAGGTTGAAGGAATTCCAAAACACCTTTTATGGCATAATAATTATTTTCAATTCTACATACTATCTTTAGCTGCTTTTAAAAACGTTCTAAGAAAGTCCAATCAGACCAATTTAATCCCTAAACTATTCCACACTTTTAAAATTTAATTACCTAAAAATATTAAAAACTATTTAAAATAACTTGTTTAGCAGACTGTACAATAGCTATCTTAGTCACACGTAGCGCGTTCTCTGTCTGGGCGTCGAACACCTCTAGAAATTTGATGAACTGTATTTAAAAAAAATCTAATATTTCATTATGATGCTAATAAACAAAGTCCGACCCCTGTCACGGAGTTCGGGTCTCTGTCCAGTTCCCCCACTCCGTTAACCTTTCTTTAAAAATTGGCAACATTTGCACAGGTTAAATACCGGTGTATGTTATATCTCTGGTCTCTTCACAGATTACATGGTCTCTTTTATCTAAGTTGAGACCCCACCACCCCTTCAGTGGCGTGCGGTGACATTTTTAGAAGGGGAAGCGATTGTATAAAAATACAGCCAGTAAGCATAACGCCAGAGGTGAAAATTTTTTTGAACGTGAATGTCCAAAGCGCGAGTTCTTTTCGATGACTTTAAAAAGAAGGAAGCCAAACCACTAAGCGTCGATAAGAAAACTTTGCAATCTTTAATATTATCCATGCTTCGCGATAAAACCAAATTAGGTCTATGTGCTATACAGTGAACGAAAATTGCATGTTTAAACTTTCACTTTAGCTTGAAGGCTTCCTAAATGGCCAGCCATTACGGCAGCACCATCGTAGCTCTGGGCAACAAGCTTAGAACCACATTCTAAACTTGAAATAATGTCACAAACAATTTTGAACAATGCATCTGCAGTTCGTTCGCTAGTGCCGTCCAAAAATCTTAAGAATCGCTCTTGAGGAATGCCATCCAATACATATCGCAAAACAATGGATAATTGACTTAAGTTTGCTACATCTGTAGTTTAATCAAGCGCAGCTGATACGAAAGGTGCTTTTTTAATTTCACTTTTAATGTGATCCATCACAACGTCGTCTGTGCATTTAATTAAATCATTTTGGATTCTGTTTGAGGTACCTCGGAAAGTCGTCGAATCAATAAAATGATTTTTTAGAGTATCGTTGTATTTTGCTAAAAAACTTGACCCCTAAAACTTAGTTCATGCTCTCCCAGGAAACAAGTTACATCTATTAATCGTTGTAAGACGTCCCTATTTTTTTTTACCCTTTCATTGTGAATTTTGTTGCCTGTTTTTAAATGATTGTCCAAACTAAGTTCAATGCAATAGGTCCGAATGTTTTTTTTTATTGTAGCACTTATATTTTGCTATTTTCACGTCGTTTTACACTTTTGTGAAAGTTATTCAAGTCTGTAATACCGACTGAGTTCCAATGTGTTTTTCGGCTATATTAAAAAGTAGGCAAGGCCAGTAAAACAATTTCTTCAAAGTTTTGCAGCCGGTTAACCATTCATACTTTTCATAAAACCCTACGTGAAAATGTCTGGTAAATTTCTTTGCTGACTTTTCTACTTTCGTCTCTAAATTGATAGGATCCTTCAGTCTACTAGAATTAATAATGTCCATTATCTCTTCAAAATTTTTATTTGAGAATCTTTTTTTCAATAAAGAGTACACAATACAGACACAATTTACCACATTATTATTGTTTACAGACACAGTGGATAGTTCCTCCATTAAAAAAAAAAAACAACTACGAAAAACAAACCGAAATCTATCTGAACTTTACGATTTTCCTCACAAATCGATTCGTATTGCGAATTGCAATATGCGTAAGGCGACGTAAAAATCGCTGCCTCTCGACCGTATTTTACGTGTACAAACAGACTATTGTCGCGGCAAAGCAAGGTTAATAACACGAAGCGAAATCAATTGGAAGATGAGCCGGCTTTTTCAAGACGCGCTTCCGCCTACGGACTCGAAGTATATGGTGTGTTCGCTTACACAATTAATTTTCTCATGGATGGTGCGTGCGTTTACACATTACACCAATGAATTGTTAGTACATTTACGAAATTTACGTAATGTTTTAGAGAAAATATAGTACCTAATTTAATATTAATTTCTATGCATTGTAAACTGAAAAATATTTATTTTTTAACCTCAAAGTGTAGGGAAGCGGTGCTTCCCCCGCTTCTATGGACCGCACGCCCCTGCTGAGCAGATAGGTACTAATGCCAAAAAAATGAAGTCTGCCACTTGCTACTTGTCATATATCATTTAGAGTATGGCTTAGTTTCTTACCTTTTCTAGTGTTAGTAGAAGTGGTGCTTTTTTTCGGTACCGCAACCATTGATGTTTTTTCCCAAAATTCTATACCTTCTTCGTTTGAATCTGAACAACTGCACAGCACTGTAGTTTTCTTGCGTTTTCTCTTAGCTTTTCTTTTGAACTTTTCGCTTTCCAATCCGCTTAGGCCGACGAAATCGATGTGCTTGCTTTCTCTTTCTGATTTTAAGTTTTCTCCTTAAATAAATTTAATTATCATTCATGTGATATCAAGTTTGATTTCTGTGAGTGGAAACTTTGATATTTTGTTAGGTAAAAGACATTTTTAGTTCCTACTGTGAAAGTTTTGAACTTCAAAAATATTCGACTTTACCTGAAATCACGGTTCCTGTATCAATTTTTTTCTCGTCTTCAAGCTGACATGGACACTCTATTAAACTAATTGTAGAAGTCTGTTTACTTTGTTTACCATCTGTAAGACCAACTTCCGGATGATACGGACATCTCACTACTGTAGAATTTTGTTTACTATGTTTCCTGTCCGTAGGAGTTTGAGAAGATTCCTCTTTTTTAAATAAATTTTCATCCGTATGTTTAGCTGTAGGAAATGAAATTCAAAGAAATATTATCTGGATTATTACAGAGGTTTTGGTATTCTGATTACTAAGTATAATGTCGTATAACAAATTTAACAGAACATTTTTAAAATAAAATAAATACCAAAAAATGTACCTATTACAATATAAAAAATAGATAAAACCTAATAAAATATATAAAAACGTACTAAACTATATAAAAAAATATAATATATAATAATAATAATAAAAGTTTATTTGAAAAATGTACAAAAAATTAAATATAATAAATTTTTTTTTTAAATACATTTTTTTTTAATAATATAAATATTTTTTTTTTTTTTTTTTTTTAGGTACATACAAATAAACTACCCATTGCCACAAAGTATAAAAACTGTCCGTGGCGTGTGTAGAGATATGTTAAGTACTATTTTATGTTTTATTTTACAATTAATTAATATAATACAAATACTGACATATAATAATAATAATAGATTTGCCGCTTTTTTTTTAATTTTCATTATTTTTTATTTTTTATTTTATTTATTTTTTTTTTAATAAATTTTTTTATTCTTTTTTTTATTTTTCATTTATCTATCGATATTCATATCAATAATATTTCTGATATTTGCTCTATATTCTTCTAATAAAAATTTTTTTGTTCTTGTTTTAAATTGCGATAATGATTTTGATTTTAGAATTTTTGGAGGTAAATAATTTAACACTTTTGATGCTAAGAAGAAGTGGCATTTTTGGCCTACAGTTTTGCGAGATGCTAAGTCTTTATATTTAATTTTGTTTTTTCGTCTTGTTTCGTGTTCATGAGTAACAATATTAAGGCTAGTTGGGTTTTTATAGTAGTAGTTGGCAATTTTAAGGAAAAAGTGTTTTTTAGGATCTAATATTTTTAATTCTTTGTATAGTTGGTCCGAGGGGTAAGTACGATTTTTTTTATAAATAATTTTTAAGAATAATTTTTGAATAGTTTCAATTTTTTCTAGATAAACATTAGTTGCTCCACCCCAGCCAATGATTCCATAGTTTATTCTCGATTCCACCAAAGCATAATATAACATTTTTAGGTAAGGTAAATCCAGGATATTTGTAAGATATTTAAATTTATATAGAAATGTTCTTAATGTATTAACTACCTTATTTATATGATGATTCCACCTTAGGTGACAATCAATTGTGATACCCAAATACTTAACTTTTTTTTCTGATTTAATTTCAATATTTTTGCTATTATATATTATGTTTAGAGTATTATAGTTAGGAAGATTGTTTTCGTAACTTGTTAGAGATAAAAAGTGTGTTTTATTATAATTAACAGTAAGAAGCCTATGATCAAACCAATTAAAAAGGAGTTTTAAGTCATCCTCAACTAATACTTTTAAGTCCTTCCACGTATCTGCCGAATAGAAAACAACGGTATCATCGGCAAAGCTAAGTACCTGGCCCTTATTATTTAATGATAATAAATCATTAATATATATATTAAACAGAATTGGGCCAAGTACTGTGCCTTGGGGTATCCCGCATTTTACATTCTTTACACTACTCATGTGTTCTTCTATTTGTAAACATTGCTTTCTATTCAACAGATAACTTTTAAAAAGCTCAAAAGCACTACCCCTTACTCCTGCATCTGCCAAGGCTTCCAACAACTGTTGATGGTCAACAGTGTCAAATGCCTTGGCAAGATCCAGGAACACAGCGATTGATGGTCTACTCTGGTCCATTGATGTGTACATTTGTTTTGTAAGTTCCGCTATAGAATCCTCAGTTGATTTGTTACTTTGGAAGCCGAATTGCTTTTTTGAAATTATGTTATTTTTGTTCAAAAATGATTCAAGTCTGATTTTTATTATTTTTTCTAAAATTTTTGTAAAATTGTTGGTAAGTGATACTGGTCTATAATTGGATGGTTTACATTTGTCACCATTTTTGTACAGAGGCTTAACTATTGCAATTTTAAATTCTTCTGGAAAAACTGATTTTTCTAATGACAAATTAATGAGGTGAGTCAAAGCTATTACAATTTCCGTTTTTAATTCTTTAATAGTTTCTGCTGTAATACAATCTACACCTGGTGCCTTTTTATTTTTTAAATTATTAATTACATCTAAAACTTCATTTACGTTTGTAGGTTTAAGAAAAATTGATTGTTTACAAGTGATTCTAGGTGCAGGTGGTGCACCAGATATGTTTATTTTTCTAGCTAAATTCGGTCCAACATTTGTATAATAATTGATAAAAATTTCCGCTATTTCGGATTCAACATTTGTTTTTGTATTATCCGTTTTCAAAATTTGTCTAATTTCTTGTTTTTTTATTGTGTTACCGCTAATTTTATTTATAGCTTTCCAGAGATTACTAGAATTATTTTTATTGTTTTCTATGTTTTTTTTGTGAAAGTCAATTTTTATTTTTTTAATCAATGTATTTAAATGGTTTCTGTATGCAATAAATTCTCTTTTAGATATATCATCTTGCTTTCTTTGAAATATTTTATATAACTTATCTCTGTGTGCAATGGATTTCATTAATCCGTTAGTTATCCAACTTTTCTTTTTGTTGTTTTTTTTATTAATCTTGACACGTATAGTATTTTCTTTGAGAAAGTTAAAAATTAAGTTTAAGAATGACGTCCAAGCTTCTTGTGGATTGGTAATTTTATAGAGTTTGGTCCAGTTAAAGTTAGCTAATTCATTTTTAATGTTCTTAAAGTTTATTATTTGTTTGAATTGTACTGACTTTACAGCTGGGTCCATTGCTGGAATACGTAAATTTAATATTTCGCTGCGATGGTCATTAATATGTGGATCTAAGACATAAGTATTACAAATATCTTTTAAACAATCTTTTTTTACTCGGATGAAGGCATGGTCAATACAGGTTTCAGAGGGCACTCTTGTGTATTTATTTATTGTGGATATAAATCCAAATTCACTCATAGTATTTAAGTATTCTGCTGTTACTCTATCATTTGAGAAAATATCTATATTTATGTCTCCGATTATAATATTCATATCACTATTTAAATTTGAAGAATGGAAGAAGTTATTTAATTCTGTTACAAAATTTTCTTCATCAGTGGATGGTGACCTATAGATACATGACAGTGCAATTTTGTATTTATCTATGTTAATATGAATAATTATTACTTTACAGTGGTCAATGTATTTTATTTCAAATGTGTAATTAATATATTTTTTTATATATACAATGGTGCCGTCAGCTTTATTAAAATCCCCGTAATTATAAATCATGTCATATCCCTCTTTAGTAAACATTTTTTCATCAAAATTGTTCCACGTTTCAGTTAGAACTATAAAATATATATATAAAATATATTATAAAAACGTACTAAAATGTACAAATATCTTACACAGAAAGTAAACGTGTAAATGCTTTATTGGATTTTCAAACATACCCTTTTCGTATATAATGAGTGCGTCATTATCATCAACCTCTGCATACCTAAAATTCTCCATACTAGCATAGTCTCTGATTTCCTGCTTTTCGACGTCTTTTCTGGACGTTTCGGGAATATCAGGACTAGATTCCAGCTTATTGTATTGATAAGAAAAGGAATAATCTGTAGATGCTGACGATGCGTTGCCTGGAAGATCATTTAAATTCATAATTTAAAAGATATATATGAATTAGTTTTTTTCGTAACTTTTTGGCAGTTAAAATTTATACCTAAATCGTCTATTCCACCACTTTCAATTCCTTCATCCAACACCTCTATATCTTCATCTTCTGTTTCATATTTCGGCTCCTTTATAATACTTTCCTCATCATTTTCTATTTCATCTACGTCTTTTTCCTCGCCTGTTACTTCTATCAAAGTACGTTTCGAAGTTCTCGGTATAGGCACTAAAGGAATTTCTTCATCTGAAAGGCGTTTCCGAGATTTCTTTTTGCAATATTTCGATAGGAAGTCCTTCCATGGACATTTTCGTTTTTTCTTTTTCGATAATTTTGGCAAGTCTTCTTCTGAGGAATCCCTAAAAGCAAGCTGTCACTTAAAAAGATGTTAAATAATAAAATGCAATAAGAATAAGAGTATTGGAATGCTGTCATTAGAAAATCTTTTTAATAAGAAAAAGAAAAGATAGCACTTACTTTTCTTCGCTCAAATCGGAGTAATCCCCATATTCGATAGGGGCCAGACAGACGGTGCAGAGGTTTCTTAAATCCGCAAAACATTCATCGCAGTAGGTGCCTGCGCAACCAGGTGTCGCGCATCTTATCGGTTTTTCCGAATCAGTTTCCCGGAAGACTTTCCCGCACAGAAGACAAGCTGTTTGTGATTGGTCCAAACAGAAGGCGAATATTCTACAAAATATTCTCATAGAAAGCATTTGACACAACAACGAAAAACCACTAGACTAATCCATTCATTAATTTAATTAACCCCTTCTTTTATTGTAAGCATACATATTGTGTTTTATATTAGGCAGACAGCTGCTAAATTGAGAGGGATAGTTTGTGACAGCTTATTTATCTGAGGTGCGAGCACGCGTTTAATTAATGAATCGGTACTTACGACTAGGGCTGGGCGATTATCAAAATAAATAATCCATTATCGATTATTTAAAATAATCGATAAATCAAAAATAATTGAAAATAATCGATAAATCAAAAATAATTGATTAATTGAAAGTATCGATTAATCGAAAGTAATCGATTAATCTAAACTAATAGATTATTCGAAAAGAATCGATTAATCGAAAATGGTCGAAAATAGAATTAATCGAAAATATTCGATCAATCGAAAATTATCTATTAATCGGAAAATATCGATTAATCCAAAAATAATAGATAAATCGAAAATAATAGATAAATCGAAAATAATCGACTATTCGAAAATAATCGATTAATCTAAAATAATCGACTAATCTAAAATAATCGATTAATCGAAAATCGATTAATCAAAAATAATCGGTTAATCGATCAATCAAAAATATTCGATTAATTGATTATCGATAAAAAATATAATAATCGACTAATCGATGAATCGATTATTAATCGATTATTTGGCCCTTCCCTACTTACGACACTTGCTTTACACTGCTGTCAGACCTCAGAATAAATTGCTTACTTTCTTGATAATCACCTTCAACTCTATGATAGTTGGAACGAGAAAAATACCTTAAACTCATAATAACTGGCATTAAATATGCAAATATATTTCCTTAATGTATTTTTGAAAGCCTTTTGTGTGTTTTCGAATCTTATGTTAAGTCAATTCTGAATTATACCCATAAACAATCCTTGTAACATGCAAATGTAGTAGTTCTAGTAGTTGTTCTTCGTTGATTTGACGTATTCTCACGCGCTGCTAACTGAATTTCAATTTGTAGCTCGAATTGGTGAATTAATAGCATAATATAACGATTAAATACTATGAGAATATAAAAGAAACAGTACCATCATCAACTTACCCAAAATGAGCTGACAGAAACTCTTTACAAGTGACCTTTTCGATGTCTTTGCCACCGAAAAATTTTCTTCTCAGTTGTCTCCTAGCGAATTTCAAAAACGACGTTCTTTTCCTTAGAATTTTATTGTACAACCAAATGGCTCTTTGCTTCCCTCTCACTGGATGATAATAAGTAAGGATGTAGATTCTAAATCTCAGTCCGTAGGGTTCCAAAATCGTCATTACCCAACAGAGAATCAGTAAAGTTACTGTAAAATGTTTAAATTAGTGTTTAAACTATTTTACTAAACTTTCGATTCCAGGACTCGAGTATATATTAAAAAACTATTTAAAAATTAACGATATACAAGGCAAAAAATGTAAAAAAGTAAAATTCTGTGTATAAAAACATAATTGGCGCACCTAGTAGGATAGTAAGCGAGCCTGCAGAAGATCTTTGACGTTCTTAAAGCCTACTCAATGTTTTAGAAGAATCGAAGCATCTAGGGAAACGTTGAAATTATCCTAGACAAGCAGGACCACTAATTTATTTTTGGAAACATGCTTTTATGTGAAACTTCTTTGCATATAGCCTCTCAAAGCCAGATGTAGAATTATATTTAGATCCTTGACATATCAAATAACGTGTTGGGAAATTAAAACCATCAAACCCAATTCGTATTTTAAGTATACCTATCCAACGGCTATAAATTGATGATCTTAGGGTTGTATAAAAGTTTAATTTTAAGAATATCTGCAAGTATTTTTGCGTAACTCTAGTAACCTAACGACCTATTAAATGTTACTAACACACAAATCAACTTGGATAATAGAAATCAAAAATGGCCTAAAAATTCGAAACAATTGCCGTTTTAAACCAAATTATAATTGGCGCAGTCAGTGGGATATAAAAAATCCTCGTCTTAACCAGAGTTCAATCTATGCCTTTTTCGTTTATATTTGACAATAAAAATTAAAATACTTACGAATTTGAAGGTATCTATCGTAATCCGGTGGTATAGGCGTAGGTAAACATGGGACGGTGTCTATTTCGAGAGTTAACCCCATAGGCTGAAATGCTTTAACGATGCTACCCAAAAGATCTGCCAGCATACCTTTCCCGCTTATGTGTGGAAGTGGAATATTGGGTGCTAAAAGAAAACATTTATTTCGATATTCTGCGTGTGATAATAGAAACGCCTAGGTAAAATTTCTTCTAAACTTAATTTGCATTCTCATTTATTTACTAGTAACATTCTTTTTGTACTCTCGTTTCTCTAATATTAATGCTAAATTAGCATGTTGATTTTTTCTACTATTAACACTTGAATGTTCCTCTAAATAATATTTGAATTGAACTTTCATTTATTATAATCACTCGATTTGCACTCTTATGTACTCTAATCGCTCGATTTACACTTTCAATTATCTACTACTCTAATATTCTTACCTTGGACCTTGGACTGAAATCTTCCATAATATTTGATCATTTCCATGATCCAACACAAAGCATAATCATAAGCCATGAATATAGCGGCCTTTATTGTTACTGTAAGCAAGTTCATGATGGCTTTTCTTAACTGCTTGCTCTCCACGTCCGTCAATTTGGTAGACTTGAGCTATAATCTGGTATGACAGTCACAAGAAGGGTTTGTCTGCACACAGTGGAACGAATTTGTACAACATTATGGATATTATGTGTTAAAATTTACTAAATTATGACTCAATATTACAAATATGTACTAGTCTGTTCCACTATGTGGTAGCAGAATAAATTTGAGATCAATGATGTTTTTTTTTTAATGATCTTACTTTCACGTAAAGTTTCTCCTCTTTCTTGTTTAGAGGGAGGACCGTCTCTCTATTGTGTTTGGCTCTGCGCATGTCCAGTTGAAAAAAGTCTTCAGTAACGTATTTATTGTCAAATCCATCGTTGGTTAGGAACCTGTATCTGTAGATAAGGACCCTGAAATTATTTTTTTTTTTTTTGATGAAACATTCATTGTTTTCTTAAGAACATCCAAAGAATATAGGAAAAGTATAATATATATTTTACTTGCAAACCAAGAGAATAATGAACATTCCTGCAGCTACGAAAGCAAGTTGAAATATTGCTGTAGCAGCTTTTATCCTTTGCTTCACTTCATTCTGTATATCCTTAGCGATTTCCGATATACTTTTGTCTGCCTTACTTTCGTAATGAAAGGAATGTGAGAATTTTATCCTGACGTAAAACATCGTACGAATATGACGAATGAAACCTTTTATTTCTGAAAAAAATGAACATAAACTAACTGTTATATCACAAACAATAAATATGGATATTACTTTTTACCTACTACTTTTATCTACTTACTTCTCATAACGACTCCTATTATAGAGTTGCTGATAAAATCGACGATCAAACAGACGAAGTCGAAGATTTTGACGATATAACACACCGACTTGATGATGTAGGTTATTGAACACATCCAACTAAACATGGCACCCAATTTGGCGTTGCAATCGGCTATGGCGTTATCGAATACTCTACCGCATCTTTCAAACGGAGTGCCCAGTTCTTTGTTACAAATGTTAATGATCTTCGCCAGGAACATAAATGCCGCTTTGATAACTCTTACTGTAAATACCAAAAGATATTTTTTAGTGACTTATAAATATGGCAATCTCGAAGATAACATTGAATAACAAGACGATAATAGCTATTGTTACGTTTGTTTATTTATTTTAAACAACAGTTTATTTGTTAATAATTTATTTGAACACTTATTTATTTTAAAACAATACTATTCTAATTTATATATATTTCGAATGTCTTTAAATTGTTCACTATTTATCTTCACAACTATTTGTATACGACTCACTGCTCCGTGTTCCTCCGCCAATATTTATATACACATTTAAAATTCTGGTAGTGGTCTAGAACGTTCTCGCCAAAACTAGAAACATTATCGCATTCTAACTGGAATGTACTTGAAAGCTCCTGTGCCATATTCGTCACATATGTTTGGTCTTAAGGGGTTTAATTATGTATAATAATCTGACAAGTTGAGCCTCAAAGGCCAAATAAGACAGAGAGGGCTTGGAGAATTAGAGCATTACTGAATAATGAAATGGCTCGCATTACACTAGTTATGAAACCTGTTATTTTATGTAACGAGTGTATATTTGAAGGGCGAGCAGAGTGAGGTCCCGCAATATGAACGAGATACATAAAACGGCATTTCGTAACGTGTAACATAAAATATGTTTTCTAATTTTGACTAGATTATTTATAAGATTGTGTTTTAGTAAGACAATACTGACATCTAGGCAACCAATATTACTCTTGTATTGTTAATTGCATATGCATAATTTTAATGACAAATAGAACATTATATTATTTATTCTCAATGAATTGCAGTGTATTAATGTGGCTTATTAAAGTTATTTAGTTTTCAAGAAAATGGGATATTTTGTCTGGTATTGTATTTTAATTATTTTGTGATGACTAAGAATGAAAAATATGGACCAAAACATCATTATTACTAGGCTGTAAGTTTAACCAAATTATATTTTTATAAGTCAATCTGTTCTTTTTGATATAAACTTTTAATAATAATGTATATTATTGATTTTAAAACCAAAAATGCTTTATTTTTCTTTTTTTTTGAAACTGGTGACATAATTAATTTTTCGTAACCGGTTTCATAATGTTCAACAGTATGCAATAAAGAAGATTATTTTGACACTTGCTGCGATTACAAAAATGTCACTTTATATGTCAAAATTAAAAAAATTAATATAAGTGAAAATTGATTGACATAGTTAAAATGACCCTATGTTCATCAAAATTATTGGAAATAAAATTGAAACGATTAGATAAAACGCAAAAAAATTTGAATCTTTTAGTTGCTGTGGTTGAAATATAGCAGATATTCAATTTTTGTTATACTTCTTATTAAGGTACCAGTTCAAATATTATTTGGAAATTAAATTGAAATAATAAGATGAAAAGCAAAGAAATTGGAATATTTTATTTAAAGTAGCTCAAATGACTCAACCGTGAAAAACCATTACAAACAATTTTTAAAAGCGTAGATAAATACTTTTGAATTAAATGTTTATTAATTTAGTGATTTAAATATAGTTGACGCTGAATTTTCGTTTGCAGTACTTCGAATGTTTAAATGATAGTTATTATTGATAGTTCAGTTAGATCCGTATTTTTAAACAGAACTCAGCTGAGTCGGACTTGAGTAAGTCGTCTTTGAACTAAAATCGAAGTTCGGTTACAACGCCTCTAAAGTTCCAGGTGGTTCCGGTGTTACACTAGAATTTAGAGATGGATATTAGCAAATCTGTAATAAGTACATTTACGGATTTGTTACTACATATCTATAAATTCACACGATATAACCGAACTTGGACCTTGGTGTCACCCTTATTAGAATAATAATACAGGTCCTATTTTAATTTTTAGATATATCGAAATAATAAACGCTATATTAAGATGGTGTTTCTTCGTTGATTTCATGATGAAATCTTACTCATTTACGCAATTTTTATTTCCTCTTATCACCGTGAGTCCGACTCAGCTGAGTTCTGTTTATAAATAGGGACCTTAGGCAGCTTACTAAGTGAGTAGTTCAAATGTACCGATAGAAAATTATTAGTTAAAACATGCAAAATAAAATTCAAAGACGAAAAAAAAAATAATTTTAAATCTGTCGAATGCAGTAGTTTAAATGTATGTATCACATGTCAAACGCACGAATTTATTAATGAACATTTTTTTAAAAAATAGTAGTTAAATTATATATGGTAGCAAAATTAACAAAGGAGGTAGTTCAAATGTACAAAATGTTAAATTTCATTAAAACAATTGCTAAAAAGACAAGAAAATTGGAATTGATTTATAAAAATGGAAACAAACACATTTGACATAAAAAAAATTATTCCGCTTTAAAAAAAATTGTTATAATATTTTACTTACCAATAGCCATTATGATTCTCTTTATTTTAATTAAAATCTCTTTAATTTTCTTAATAACCACTTTAACGGTGGCTATTACTTTTTTGATGGCATCTTTAATGGCGTAAAATGGTTTTTTGATCACTTCGAAAATTTGTCTTAAAACGGACTTCAATTGCTCCTAGAAAAATGTATTTTTTTAAAAACCAATATTTTATATAATTTGACAAATCAAGAAACTTGGCCAGCATCAAATGCGCCTCGAAGTTAATTGTAAGAATTCTCAAAATCTGTGCTAATATTGTCATGTATTATAATTTTGCGCAGTCAAATGTAAAATAGGATACAGTCCCATTGGCATATTTAAATGTCAAGATGTATATTACAGGGTGTTTCATAAAGACCTGACTAAGTCGACCTGACTATCTATATGACTAAAAGTACGTCAAAAAATAATGTCAGTTTATTTAATAAAGCTAAATGTCCGAAAACGTGGTAGAGTACGATTCAACTAAGAAAAAGCCACACACATCATACCTGACAAAGGCCGCAATAATTTGCCTCTCTCTCAGGTCCATCCCATTTAAGCGTCAGTGGCGTTTTGGCGATTTTTTCGTTTTTCTAATATAGAGATACAATTGCTTAATAATTTGGCAACGTTGTACGCATGGTCCAGAATATAATTCGAACAGAAGCTATCGCGTAAACATGGATCCCTTATTATTGTGAGCCAAACTTCGGCGTTGCCAAGCTTTTACTTACGAACAAAAATACGAGTTCATCGGAAGAAAGTGAAGACAGCGAGAGTACTATACTCTGTTTTTAAACTAGGAGGAGCGAATTGAAAAGACGCATTTACACAGGGAAAAGTAACTAGATTTGTTACTAAGAGCGAGTTTCGAAATATAGTCGTGTTCAAAATTTATGAAATAATTATCTTTATCGGCCTTAGTCGGTGAACGGCCAATTAACGGTTAAGAAACGAATAAATGTCATAGAGGTAATTTTTTAATTGGTCCCAGACAACGGTCGCAAATTTCACATTATTGTGATCTGAAATGTGTGTCTAAAACGAAATGTCACTGTCAAATTAAAGTCAATATTGTTGTTGATAGATGTCAGAAATACTTTTTTCTTGCTTTTTAATTCGACTTTTTGAGAAAAACTATGATCTTTTTAAAACGTATATTAAATATTTAAGAAAATTGTTAATGGAATATCCAGATGTAGCCAGGTTAGTATAAAATATAAAGATCTGTTTACATTTTTAAGGATATATTTGTTATAGGTATAAAAAGTAAAAGTTAATCAGTGAATGACAAGTGGATCACACAGTAACTAATATCTCTTTTATGAGTAATGTGGATATTATGGCTTATTTAGTGAAACCATGGTTAATTCGCTAGAGGGCAAATAAAGGCATTCAAAAGTTTACAGGCCTATGAGTCAGAATTTGTTTTGAAAACTGGAACCAACATTTTCATAACACTACATGTCAAAATATATTTTTTAAAGTGAACTATTCATACATACCTATGTATTAATTTTAAGTATTTTTAAAATATTTTTTGTGAAAATAATGTGCCAAATTAAGATTATCCCTAAAGTAGTAGATGGTGTTTTAAATGTTATAACAATTTTGTAAATAGTATTATTCTATTCTAATAAATAAAATTTTTAGTTTTAAAAAATCAGTAATAAAATCATTTTTTTTTTAATACTTCGGAATTCATCTCTTCATGGTAATCTACCATCTTTTTACCTTCAAAAACCAATAATGCATTTTCTACAAAACCTTCAGAATCAGCATGTAAAATAATAAGGTGTCTCCCCTTTCTTGTAAGGCTTTTCAGGAATTGCTACCATTAATAGTACTCAGTGTAGAAGGATATATAATTGTAGATTTTCAATACAATTGTTTACTGAAGAAGTATTATTTACGAAATAAAGTAAAAAACTAAGTAATGGATGAGATATCAAATTATAAAATGTCAGAACTGTCAACAATATCAATTATTAGCTGATGTTCATGCTAAAAAGTAATGTGTGAAACTGACTGTAATCTGACCAATCAGAAGGCTACAGAATTGCCAACTTAAATTCAAATCGCTCCTCTTAGTTTAAAAGTATAATAGTTCATTAACGGACAAACTAGGATGTACTCCTCTAGTTTCACTTTTTGCACTAGTTGCATAAATAACTATTATTTTAATTGTAATAAAAATCTTAAATTACAAAATTGGAGGGTGGGTGGCTCAGTGGTAGAGTCTCTGCCTGTGGATCCAAGGGTCCCAGGTTTGAATCCTACCGTTGGCCGGGATTTTTTTATTTAATTTAATTATTTAAAATTAATTCTGATGCCTTGGTAGGATTCCCCACTCGATCATTCACTGTTGGGTTCTAATTAATAGTGCTGTTCCTGAAGTGGCGCTGGGAAACAGTAACAAAGCCTACACAGAACACACATGATTGAGAATTTAAAACACAAATTTGAGACTGGCATATTAGGTATATACACCTAGGCCATACATCGAAAAAAAAAAAAAAAAATTACAAAATTGTGTTGCTATTTTTATTTACTTCCCACTGAATGTTTTGCAAGTCTAAAGTCAAAAAATATATGTAATGTTATTTTAGTTTAGTTATTTAGGTAATATACAAATGTTTAAATCATTAAAATTTAACTTTTTAATCCAATAAATGTTTTTTGTTGGGAAACTGCTTTAATTCTTATTTAAATAAGAGCCTACGCCACTGGTATATCGATCTGGAGCAACGGAGAAGGAATATTTTAAAGTGAGGCAGACGATGACTAGTTGATGACGCCCGTGGCTTTTTCTAAGTTGAATCGTACTCTACATCTCTTCGAAGGGACTTAAAGGTTACCACTTTTTCAACCTAATCTCAAAAACTCACAAACCGATTTAAACTAATTTTTAAAAGGCTATTTAGTGCATTAAATTACATCGTTTAAATTGACTTTCCAAAAAAATATATCTGTGAATGGGGGTTAATTATTTCCTACCATTTTTTCTATTTTATAATTTTTTCAACAAAGAAATGTCGGAAAAACGAAACGTTTAGTCAGAATTGGAATTTTAATTTCAAGTTGCTGGTCTTTTTAAGTAAATCACATCCTCAGTTGGCTGTGAAAACATTTCACAGTGACTTTAGTTATTTATCGCAATATTTTAAAACCTGAATCACAACAACAGGCCTTTTCATCATGTGATGAGCGCAAGCGCAGCCACCATGTTAAAATAGCACCAATTCAAAAGTTTCGTACTGTTTTGACCAACAATGGCTGGAAAAGCAATATTATCTCTACATATAAATCAATCATTAGAAAAAATCGTTGATGGTGAGTTACATTTTTATAACTCTGTGGAAGCACATAGTTGTGAGCAATTAAAAAGTGACGTAAACGTTCGGAAAAAGGAAAAAAAGTGTGGTGTTTGAGAGGTTAGGTTTCAATAAATATTAACTGTATAAAAAATTAATGAAAACAAATAATAATTATAACTCTATTCTAATTAATTATGCCAACCAAACTATTAATAATTGCAAAAACATTTTAACATGAAAGTTAATCACTTGTATAATTAATAAGATAAATTATTTAAAATTTTAAGGACCAACATGACATTTTTAATAATATTACTGTGTATACCGAAGTAGTATTTAATATTAAAAAATCTGATGTGTGCAACACATGACTTTCCTATCTAGTTATTATAGGCTTTTTCCGGTTATTTTGTACAACCTATTGCAGCATCTCTATAAATGTTTAGAGGATAAACTGAATATATACATTATCCACATACATCTACCTCGAAACATTTTTCTATAGATATTCATTGAAAACGAAAATACTGAAAAATTTAAATTTAGCACTTTTCCATTACGGTCCATTTTAGAAAAATCTGTATAAACAAAAATTATAGAGATCGATATCGCAAACAACTTTTAGTTCAATAATTTTCATAAAGATCAGAATTTTGCACATTTTGTCAAATTTCTCGAATTCGGACCATTTCAGGAAATTTTGACATATAACAAAAATTATAGAAGTAACTTTTATTTGAACAATTTTCTTCTCCAAACATAAATAACAGATATATTCCATAAAATATAAAAACGGCCTTCCATAAAGTACCCCCCAGATGTTCCGACTTTGTCCAAAATCTAATCATTTCACGTCAGACCGAAATAAACCTTAGGTTTAAAATATAATTTTTTTTTCTTAATCCGTTTTTGAGTTTTCTTCAAAATTCCAAATTTACACATTTTCACAAATATCTCGAATACGGTCCATTTTAGAGAAATTATGTATAAAATAAAAATTATATAGAATTATATTATAAACAACTTTTATTTGAACATATTTTATAAAAAATTATTTTTTTTACATTTTGTCAAATTTCTCGAATACGGACCATTTTAGGAAAATTTTGAAAAAACAAAAATTATAGATAATTATATTATAAGTAACTTTTAATTAAAGAATTTTCTTCTCCAAACGTAAATAACAGATATATTCCATAAAATATAAAAATGACCACCCATAAAGTACCCCCCAGATGTTCCGACTCTGCCCAAAATCTACTCAGTTCATCAGACGCTGGAATAAAGCTTAAGTTTAAAATTTGGTGTTTTTCTGTGTAACGGTTCATGAGTTATGCGAGACACACACACAACACACACACACACACACACACACACACACACACACACACACACACACACACACACACACACACACACACACACACACACACACACACACACACACACACACACACACACACACACACACACACACACACACACACACACACACACACACACACACACACACACACACACACACACACACACACACACACACACACACACACACACACACACACACACACACACACACACACACACACACACACACACACACACACACACACACACACACACACACACACACACACACACACACACACACACACACACACACACACACACACACACACACACACACACACACACACACACACACACACACACACACACACACACACACACACACACACACACACACACACACACACACACACACACACACACACACACACACACACACACACACACACACACACACACACACACACACACACACACACACACACACACACACACACACACACACACACACACACACACACACACACACACACACACACACACACACACACACACACACACACACACACACACACACACACACACACACACACACACACACACACACACACACACACACACACACACACACACACACACACACACACACACACACACACACACACACACACACACACACACACACACACACACACACACACACACACACACATCATCGCGAAAATAGTCAAAACGGATTCAGGGGACCTCAAAACGTAAAAATCCGTCGAAAACTCGAGGTCGAAAAAAATCATGATTCCTATACTTATGAAATTATTTAATTTTTTTACGTCGCTCAAATTTGAAGATAAATTGCAATTTTTAGTAGCTTTAATATTTAGTTTATGTAGTTCATACCATTTTTCTTTAGAATTGCTGCGGGATAATCTGTATTGCAGGTATGATTTTTTTCTTAATAGAAGCAGAAGTGAAATTTCTGAAATCTTTATAGTACTCCCAGTAAGCCGGCAGTTTAGAATTATGATACTTTCTTAAAGCCTTATCCCTGAATTTTTGTAGTAGTAGATATTTTTTGTAATCCAGGGTTGTTTTTTATTGTTATGTAAAATAGTGCGAGTTTGAAGAGGTGCAAATTAATTAACTAAATTTAAAATTGTTTTATTAAAATAGCTTAATTTAGCATCAATATTATCAATGTACATAATTTGTCTCCAGTCTTGTGCCTCCAGCGCACATTGGAAAATATTTAAATCTATATTAGTTTCCTAATAGTTACATTTTCGAACACGCTTTTTCTAAAGGCGTTCTAAATTTACAACAAACCAGGGAATGTCTATCTATCGGTTACATCACAAAAGTCCACATCGAAGTTTGTATAGATATGATCTATTAAGAGTCATGCTATTATTAGAAAAATGAGTAGGATCAGAAACAATTTGATTTAACTGAAAAGTATCTGCTGCAACAATTAGATTGTGAAATTGAAGTTTTAAATTATCGACATTAAAATCGCCAAGACACAACATTTTATCGGCTTCTGGGTAAACATGAATAAAGGCATTTTCCAAATGATTGAGAAAAGACTGGTAAATGTCATTGGTGTTATTAGGAGGCCTATAAACTACACCTAATCCATATTTTACATTATTTGTTTTGAATAGTATCCAAATTTGTTCAATAGACTCAAAATTCTCTATAAGTAAAACCTTATATTCAATTGATTTTTTTTAATATATTGCCACACCACCTCCTCGTTTAGTAGATCTATCGTTTCTAATCAAGTTGTAACCTTTTAATTTAACTAGTTCCTCATCAATTCTATTGTATAACCAAGTTTCAGATATACAAAAAATATCAAAATTTTTAGACGTAACCAAAATTTTGGGAAAAAGCGAACATACATTTAAATGCCCTACAGTAAAAGCCATTGACCAAAATATTATTTAAAAAAAAACCTTATAAAATATATTCTAAAAAAAGAGTATAAATGCTCAGAAAACTGAAGCTAAAACCTTTTAAAACTATGAAAGATAAATAATAAATGAATAATACTAAGCAAAGATTTAAGCTAACGCGACAATATTCAGCAACTAGACCTTAAGAAGATAGAAGATTTTTAAAATTTTGTTGAAGTTGGGCGTTGGGTCTTCTTAACCACAGGAACTTGATGAAGTTTACCCAATTTTCTTGCTTCGGAGATTTATCTTCCAACTGTGTGTCAAAGGGGTCAGAACTTCATCTTCTAAATATTTACAAGGGTGATACATTAGGTTGTACAAAATGCCTGTAATAACTAGACAGGAAAGTCATCAGATTTTATTCAAAAAATTAGCAAATAGAAAAAAGGGGAAGAAATAGTTAACCCCTCGACCCTTCACAGACGACATTTTTGGAAAGTTGACATAAATGATGTATATATTCTAAATAACATCTAAAAATATCGGTTAGTGAGTTTTTGAGATATCGTTGAAAAAATTATTACCTTCAACCTCCTTCAAAGGGCGCTTTCGGACATATATTATTTTTTGACGTATTATTAGCCATAGAAAGTTAGCCAGGTCTTTCTGAAATACTTTGTATATTAAGAGTTTTTTCTTCTTAAGACAGATACCTATATGTACAAAAATTTATTAGCCAATCGTTACTACGACCACTTCTTACCTGTCCACACGCTAATGATTCGCTTAGAATGCCGAGATTGTTCAAAATATTTTGGGCCGGTCCTGACAAAACTAAGGAAATGGCGTAAGCGACAAGCAGCTCCCGACCTTTCTTGCTGAAGAAGTGAGGCAGCGTTAGGAAAACAATACATCTACAAAATAATGAACAAAATTTTAATATTCCACCAAAACAATTTTTTTTTAATATGTTTTGGAAAATATCTTTATTATTGTTTATTTTTAAAATTACCGGAAAAATGGAACCTGTTTATAAAAGTTACAAAAGATCATAATAAGGTCGTTGTTGAAAATAAACTTTTAGTTATTACTTTAATGGAATTATTTGGGTATCGCGCTTGGTGGAAATGTTCTGTTTAACCTCTCTAGCTTGAATACAAATTATAATTATGCAATTAATATGCATGCACCGAAAGTTAATTAATTTATATGATTGCTTAAATAGTTTTTATTTTAATGTGGCGAAAAAGGTTGTTTTTTAGAAAGAAAACGTAATCAAAAATTAGAACTTTTCTTATATGCTTTAAGTGAGCCGGCGAAAAACACTTTTATTCGAATGTGTCAAAAAACGTCGTTTTTCGGACATAAAACTAGTCACATACTTTGATTACTATACGAGGCAAGAGAGAGGTCCGACACAGTTTACAGCTAAAGAATCAGATCGCTCACTCTGCGTCGGCACTTTTGATCTCAATGTTTCAGTTTATACACTGTGCAACTCGGATAATACAATATATGACAACCGCCTATAATAAAACAGCAGTCTTCTGCGTATCCTGAATTTGTATGCCTGGAGTGGATGTTATTTTGGAACTTTCAACTGGTCCGAGTGAGCTAACTGATTCTTTAGCAATAAACTGTGACTTCAAAAATAATATTCACTGACACCACATACTTTAATTACTATACGAGGCAAGAGATAGGTTCGACACGCCCAACATAAAGCGCGGCCATTTTGAACCCTGTGACACAGTTTACAGCTAAAGAATCAGATCGCTTACTCTGCGTCGGCACTTTGGATCTCAATGTTTCAGTTTATACACTGTGCAACTCGGATAATACAATATATGACAACCGCCTATAATAAAACAGTAGTCTTCTGCGTATCCTGAATTTGTATCCCTGGAGTGGATGTTATTTTGGAACTTTCAACTGGTCCGAGTGAGCTAACTGATTCTTTAGCAATAAACTGTGACTTCAAAAATAATATTCACTGACACTGACAGCAGCAAGCAAAATATCAGATGCGTTTTAATCATCCGTTTCTGCTTCCGGAATTGTCGGTTTAGTCGTTTTAACCTGTCAGATTAAAACAAGAAAACTGACAATTCCGAAGCAGAAGCGGATGATTAAAACGCACCTATTAAAAATATTGCGTCAAGATGTAGGCAACACGTAATAAGGGTTCAAAATGGCGGAGTTTTCTATCTCCTTTTATAAGGCACTCAGAAAGCTGCGCAGTGCGACCATTCTCCGTATAGTAGAAGAAAATCAAAGTATGTGACTGACACTGACAGCAGTAAGCAAAATATCAGGTGCGTTTTAATCATCCGCTTCTGCTTCCAGAATTGTCGGTTTAGTCGTTTTAACCTGTCAGATTAAAACAAGAAAGCCGACAATTCCGTAGCAGAAGCGGATGATTAAAACGCACCTATTAAAAATATTGCCCCAAGATGTAGGCAATACGTAATAAGGGTTCAAAATGGCGGAGTTTTCTATCTCCTTTTAAAAGGCACTCAGAAAGCTGCGCAGTGCGACCATTCTCCGTATAGTAAAGGAAAATCAAAGTATGTGGTCGGACCTCTCTCTTGCCTCGTATAGTAATCAAAGTATGTGGGTTTGAGTTTGTGCAGTGAGAATATGTCAGACATGTCAATGGTCATTTGTGAAAGTGATTTGAAAATAAACGTTAATTTTATTCATAAAAACAATTTTTGGGACTATTAACCGCGTATTGTACAACCCGCCGTGATTTTTTTCTGAAGATATTGTTATACATATTTTTTCAAATTATGACCCTGTTTGGCACCTACTGCGCAAACTCATTTATTCCCCTTGTAGGAACGTTTTTGTAAACTGTCAAATCCATTCTCCTAATTTCAGTTCTGTGTAATTAAATTAATTTGACATTGTATAAAAACTGGAGATAAGGAGACGAATCGGCATACTTAAAATACGGTCCCAAAAAACGCATACTAAATGAGATTTTATAATTAACCGTATGGGCGCTGGTACTGCATACGCTGTTCAAAATACATGGCTTCTTATGGCAATTATACATAATTTTGTCAAAATATTAAAAATAAACTTATTTATAGCTAAATAAAGCACAGAACAGACTGTTGTATTTATTTCTAAATAAGTCTTGCATGTTTTATTTAATAAATTATTTAATTTTATCTATATAAAATACAAATTAGGTACGTATTACCAAATTCGAAAAGGTTTCTTAAATGCTCAAATTAAAGTACAATTTTGTGGCAATTTTTTTTTTGAATTGAACCAATATATAGTTTTAAGAGTAAAATAAAACACAGTGAACAGATTTTTTATTGTTGTAATACAAGTATAAAGGGAGATTTGGGAATGTACATGGTATTACCTCATCCTTTAATTTCAGCTTTCTCCTTTTTCATTTTGCTAACAGTATAATAAGTAAAAATAGTCTCATAATATTTAATAATATCTTCTAAAAAGTATAGAATAGCCTTATCTCTAGAAAGTGCTTTATCGGCAGGAGAAACGATATATATGCTGCCACTGTTCTAAACGTTCAGTATCCTATAAAAAACATTTACAATGACATAATTCGGGTAAAAAACATCTAACATTAAAACTCTATAAAAAATAAATTTTCTTTTCTAGTAAGTTAAATTTAATACAAAATTATTGTTGTTTGTAAGTCAGCATCTATAACTGTAAAATTTTATATCATAGAAACTTGTAATAAAATAAACTAAACTTCGTAAGATACATATTGTGACTAGTTTACATTAAATATTATATTTAGACATGAATACATTATTTTGCCTACATTAGAAGATTTAAAAAGACATTGAATTGATTTCTTCTTGTGTTTTCTTTAGTTTTACAATTGATTTTTACACTGTTTTACAATCTGGAACGACGTAAATCTTGCTTTGATGTTTTTTGTCACTCATTTTACTTGTACTCAGGCACATTTTTCACATTAGTTTGATTTTTTTCACCAATTTTTTTAAAAATCACTTCATTTTACATTGACTTACATAGAAAATTGACTCCGCTGTCATTAGATATGCCAACTACAGTCAATTTCGCAAACTTTATAAAAAGAAGGACGGAAATTTGAAATTTGACCACTGCCGATTCGCCTCCTTCTCTCTAGTCTTCATAACACATTGATACGACAGAAATTGTTCAAATGTTCTCATAGCCAACTCAGTTAAGGAAAAATTATTGGAAATAATATTTCAGATTTAATTTTCTATATATTTTTTAATATCTAAGCATACTCGAATAAAAAACAATGTATGAAACACGGACGAAAAGTGTTTTTTTAGATTTCTACGAGTTGCCAGACTCGACTACCTCTCGCCTGGCAAGCTTTTCGTAGTCGCCCGAAAAACTCAACATTTCACAGCGATATCACAAGAACTGTTTTTTAGTGTTTGACACCATTTTCAACTTCTTTGTAACTCCTAGCAAAAAATACAAGTATTAAAGAAGAACAATTATTTACTACCACGACAAGGAGTCTCTTTGGCTCTATTTGGACCACAACCCTTTTGTGGAGCTACGCTACAAAGATAGTCATCAGAACTTGAACAAAGCAGAAGATATTAAACAAATCTCAGGAATATTGCAACAATACTTGAATACTAGTAGTTCTTCAAACCCATATGTAAATTGGTTAGATGGAAATGTAGAAAATAAAAAAAGGACATTTATATCTCACAAAGACATGTATTTTTATTACGACCGGTTTTGAAGTGTATCACTTTATCTTCTGGCACGCCTAGTGGATAAGATAAAAATAAATTGGTGAATTTCTATTGGTACCAAGATGAAACAATAAAATAATGATATATTTAAATTAATTTAAATTAAATCATTGTTCTAAAGTTACTTTAAATTTTCATTTATCGACCGTAGTTTAATTTACGATTAATGCAATCTTTTTTTTTTCATAAAAAAAAACATAAAATTTAAAAAAATAAAAAAGAGATTGATTTCACCGGGAATTAAACCGCGGTCACTAAATGCAAAGAACAATGGACAGAAATGTATGGGAAATTGCCCCACTGCTATAAGGGTAGTTATATAGGTACCAATTGGAAGATCTTTTTAAAGATAACATTTCTCTTTATTACTTCTCAATTACTTGTTAATTCCAAGTTACATCATCCTAAATGTAACTTTTCGCACGATAGGCCAGTGCTTATCTTTTGTTATTGTAGTGCTTATTACAGGAAACAGTAATTATTACTTCTTAGGGCCAGTTTTTTTCACCTCCAAGTAAAGTTGAAAGTAACTACTTGCTGATTAAACTATAGGGCTATTGTTTGTTAATCTGTCAAGTAATCCTAAATGTAAATTTACTCAGAGGTGAAAAGATCGGCCCTTAGTAACATAACAACAATTATAATAACCAGGTATATCATACCAGTCAAAGATTTTATCCGCCACGTGTATCCCCTACCAATGGGCCTCTATGTGTTGGTGGTTATCCGGCCCCACGTATGCACTTCAAAGGACCAGGATAGCTATTCACTAAGTCATGGGAGCGCTCCCATGGGAGTGCTCCCATATATTTTGCTCTCTTACTCTTAGGTGGGTATATCGTGCTTACTCACTTTTAGCCCAGGTACATGCGTAGTAAGGTCAGATTTTATACTATGGGAGGGAGAATTGCGGGCTTGCCAGATTAGGTCCGTATTTATCACAAAGCAAATTTGAATTACTAAGGGCTGATTCCACCGTTGAGTTAAACGGAGATTAAAATGACATTGTTAATGTAAAAATGTCATTTTAAACTTCGTTTAACACAACGGTGGATCGGTCCTTAAATAGTAGATCAAAGTTATTCTGTCGACTTGGCAACGTTGGCATGGGAGTATGGGAGCATGGAAGTGTGGGAGTGCTCCCATGAGTTAGAGAATAGGTATCCAGGTCCAATGATCCGACACCAAGGTAATGGACAAATGTAATACAATCATAATTATTGATATTACAGTTACATAAGAACTAATATAAAGACATTTGTAACACATACACATCTTATACACGCCAGTCCAGACTATGACTTGTGAATTAAAAAAATTGTTTTTATACAGGAAGATGAATATCTATTGAAGCTATAATTTAAAAATTGGAATTTACATTGAGCCTCTAAAAAGTATTAACATTGAAAAATTCTAAACATAAAACCATTTTAATTACTTAGTACCTTCAATAAAAAATAAATATAAAATAAAAGTATTAGGTAGAAGACATTTCTCATGAAAGCTAGTAGGTGACTTGCATTGAATCAAAAATGCCTTTTAGCTAAAGTAAGATTCTATCATCTTGGCAACCATGCATTTTTTCATTTCTAGATTTGAGTTTCTATTTTGTTGTTACCATGACAAGTGTCCCTATCGCAACAGTTTATCCGGAACTGATTCCAGCTAGAGTTAAATTAAATAATTTATAAGTTGGCAACTACGCATTTCCTTGCTACCGAATTTGAGTTTTTGTAGAGTCGTTACCATGACAACTGTCTCTATGGCAACAATTTCTCCATAACTGATTTCATCTAAACTAAAGTTAAATTAAATCATATAACTACAACAGTTCTTCAAAAACTGAGTCCAACTAAACTAAAGTAAAAATTAAATCATCTATAATTTAGCAACTATGCATTTCCTCACCATAGGATTTGGATTTTTGTTTAGTTGTTACCATGACAAACGTGACAGGGAGGGTAGAATTTATTTCAGAACCCACTAAAAAACTTCCAGAGTTAATACAGACGGTTTTTAAAAAAAAATCCTGTGTTTTGTTATATGCGCTATGATATAACTCGAAACGGACAGATAATTGAGAGAAGTCATAATAAAAACAAATGTTCTCCTTACCGATATCTTTTATTTGGTATATATCTTACACCTATAGACCTTTTCATCATGTGATGAGCGCAAGCGCAGCCACCATGTTAAAATAGCGGTAATTCAAAAGTTTCGTACTGTTTTGATCGACAATGGCTGGGAAAGCAATATTATCTCTACAGAAAAATTATTCAATAGAAAAAATGGTTGATGGTGATTAACTTTTTCATAACTGTGTAGAAGCGCATAGTTGTGAGCAGTTGAAAAGGTGGATGTAATGTCTTGGACGTTTGCTACAAACGAAAAAACTCGACTGATTGAGAGGTTAGGTGTATCAATACTTTTTAACTGTGTACAAAATTAATGAACCCAAATAATAATTATAACTCTATTCTAATTAATTATGCCAACCAACTATTAGTACTTGCAAAAACACTTTAATTAACATGAAAGTTAATCACGAGTATAAATAATAAAATAAATTATAATATTTTGAGGATCAACATGACATTTTTAATCATATTACTGTGTATACAGAAGTAGTATTTAATATTAAAAAAATATTGTTCAATACCAGATAAGAGTTTTCTTCTGCTGGATCACTTTCTCCATGAAAATGTAAAGAACAAATATAAGTATCTTTAGTAACATCATCGAAAACCGTTGTCACTTCGACCATATTATTTCACACCTAATGAACATTTCGAATATGTTTTAATATGGATTTTGGCTGATAATTTGATAATTTTTTTCGATATTGCAGCCAAGGCTTTGGAAAATTTATAAAATAATATGTATTGCCTTTGAATGATTTATACCGAGTGTCAATTTTACATACTCCATAACAACACCGTTTAATTGTTTCTTTCCGTACAGATAACATAATTATAACTGATTACAAAAATGTATTTTTCAATTAAGACACTAAAATTATTATTACTTTACTTTTTCTTCCTTTTTTTAAATGAATATACTTAAATTATTATTTATTAATTACAACTTTTTTCACGTGGGCATTTTAACATGCTTATTTACAAAAACAGTACGAAAAAGATGGCTGATACTGACGCATGCGCCCAAAAAAATATTGTGGTGAAAAGGTCTATTGGGGGGTGGGGCAAAACTGCCCATTCTCCTTTGACTGTATGTTGAATGCTTAACTAACTGAGCTCTCGTGACATGTCAAGTGAGTTTTGGCCAATATTTTTTACAACTTTGAGCTGTCTGACGTCTCTTTTGTAGGGATTTTAAACTAAATCCTTGCAGATGACACTTCCTGATAGTCACGCCAACCACTTCACAAATTCTAGCCGTTAGTACGATCATACAACTTCAGAATAATTTGAACTTACCTAATTTTTGAACTGAAAGCTAGCCCATTGACTAAAACACATCCCAGCATGGCACAAATAACCGTAGCTATCGAAATCTTAACGTTAAGTTGAAAAACGAAAATCATAAAAAATATGTAAGTCAATATTAACCCTCCCAAAAACCCCAACAGGCTCTTCAAAACGTAATTTTCTACGCTACCGGAGTGCTGCAGATTGAAACAGAATGTCTTGCAACACCAACAGTAGAAGATTCTTCGTTTGAACCGTTTGCATTTGGCCCGAAATTTCACAGCTATCCATTGGAATTTGAATTTTTTCTTTCCTGTTTGTTGGTACTGGATGGATTCTTCTTTCTCTTTGACGAGAGTGTTTCTGTGGTTATTGAGATTATGAGCGATGGCTATCAGACGGACGAAAGCCATTTTTTATTTTAATACTTTAAGTCAAAGGTAAAACTGATGTGACTTATGTCGACATGACTTAAGTACTGACACGTGATCGTAATGCTGTGACCTCCGAGCTGCTCGGAGGCTGTGACCTATAGTCACATACTTTGATTTTCTCTTACTATACGGAGAATGGTCGCACTGCGCAGCTTTCTGAGTGCCCTTTGTGCCCTTTAAAAGGAGATAGAAAACTCCGCCATTTTGATGCCTTATTACGTGTTGCCTACATCTTGGCGCAATATTTTAAATAGGTGCGTTTAAATCATTCGCTTCTGTTTCGGAATTGTCGGTTTTCTTGTTTTAATCTGACCGGTTAAAACGACTAAACCGATAATTCCGGAAGCAGAAGCGGATGATTAAAACGCACCTGATATTTTGCTTGCTGCTGTCAGTGTCAGTAAATGAGTCACAGTTTATTGCTAAAGAATCAGTTAGCTCACTCGGATCAGTTGAAAGTTCCAAAATAACATCCACTCCAGAGATACAAATTCAGGATGCGCAGAAGACTGCTGTTTTATTATAGGCGGTTGTCATATATTGTATTATCCGAGTTGCGCAGTGTATAAACTGGAACATTGAGATCAAAAGTGCCGACGCAGAGTGAGCGAACTGATTCTTTAGCTGTAAACTGTGGTAAAGGCATCAAAATGGCCGCGCCCTATGTTGGGCGTGTCGGACCTCTCTCTTGCACCGTATAGTAATCAAAGTATGTGCCTATAGTCTATAAAAGAGAAGTGCAGTAAAAGTGGGGATATAACCACATTCCATAAGCGTACTTTGGTAAGTTCACGGCATATACACACTTCGTAGATTAAAATTTTATATAAAAAAAGTTATATTATTTACGAAAATAAAAATAAACTTTATGCTTCTGACAAAATTGTTGCACTTTAACATTGAACGAATTAAATTAAATTAAAAAATACCAAGGAGGATTTTAATATGTTGTTAATGGGATTAAACTTTTTTTTATTCTCTTGGCATTAAAAGTAACACTTCAATACCTAAAATCAAAGATTACAAAAAAATAGAAAGTTCGAGAATTATCCTTAAAAGTCAATGTCTTCACTATAACTACTGGTATCATTATTATTGTCTTTTCTGCGGTTTATTATTATAGGGTCTATTAAAATTTTTTTCTACACCCGTATTATAATAATGCACTTATATGCCCATAATCCGTTTCATAATGATACCCATTATGATACAGATTTTTCATTACGATACAGATTTTTCATTACGATACAGATTTTTCATTACGATACAGATTTTTCATTACGATACAGATTTTTAATCAATAGAAACCTACAATTTTTCAATCAAGCATGCTGTTTGACGTTTATCCTAGGTTCCTATGTATTTGTTTTAGTTGTCAAAACGTATTAAATTTTGGTAGATAACTAAACTTCGTTAATTATAATATTAAAATGTCTGATATCAGCGATATAGAAGACTCCTCCACACATATCGGAGAAAGCAGAAAATACAGTACAAAATATTTTGCCGCAAAAATCTAGGGAAATACCAATACCCGAAGTAATACCATTAATTACAATTTTGTAGAATTTTTTATAGAAATACACGAGTAATTATTGTTATTGTGTTCAATACCAATATGAATATAATATTTATAGTTCTTGATTATTTATCGGGTGTAGAAAAAATAGCGTATGCAACTCTCATGTAATGGTTATTAATACACTCGCATAAACCATACGAAACTCGCCTTTGGCTCGTTTCGTATCCCGGTTAATGCTCGTGTATTAATAACCATCATTACATGATCGTTGCATAATATACTATTATTGCTATATTCACATTCCACAATGAATTTTCCACCTTTTTAACATGATCAATGAATTTTCTCCAATCTTCTCCATTTACATCTGAGACTGCCTTCAAAAACAAATTTCGCACATCAGGTAATTTACATGTTGCATAGTTTCGAGAAACATAACCTTTTAATTGGATTTAACTATGCGTGGTAAAGAGGCAATCTAAAATTTAAATTCCTTCTTCTCGGGCCATCTAGTCTATAATATATTTTTTGAATTTGTTTTTATGTCGCCTTGCTATTACGAGTAATTCTGCCTCTAAGGATTTAGGAGGACTGATAATATTTTTAGAATGTAGCCATTTTGAAATATCTTCTTTCTTCCATCTTGTTGTAGGTAGTGACTCCTTCAATCGACTGTGATAGGATGAATTATCCAAAACAATAACGGAGTTGACTGGAATTTTTTTTCTGAAACCATTTTTAAACATAAGGCCATCCATTGCTTCATGGTAGTCTTTTCATGTCTTTGACTCGAACATTAATAAACCATCTGGCAAAAATTCATCGGTTCTTCCAATGTGGGTTATTAATAAATGATTTCTTTTTCTTGTTGGATTTTGTAATCCACAAGAGACCCATTCCATAAAGGTTTGTTTTTTAGTTCTGGTATATTTTTTAAATAAAAGGCTAATGGATTGCCCATAGCCCCCCTGGAACCGCCCTTGGATGGAGGTACCTTGTCAAATTTTTGTTACTATATATCCAGCATTAACCCATTTTTCATCTAAATAAAATACCTGTGTATGCTGATTCCTGGCGTCCGCTATTTTTCTTAAATAATCACGTCTCCTCGCAATGATTTCGTCTTCCTCTGTAAAAAAGCTGTTTCTGTCACGTTTTTTTCTGGAACGATAATTTATTTATGTAATATTTTTTGCAGATGAAAATATGATATCAGTATTTGGAAGAGTGGAGCTATTTTCTGTTTCTGATTGTAATTTTTTAAGTGTAGGAATTTTAATTCGAAAGAAAAAAGAATGTGCCATTTGTCTTATTATATTTTTTATCCATGTTTCAATAAAGGTCTTGTTTCTTCCTAGGAGCTTTTTCAGACGCGAGACTTCACCAATAACAGTGTATCTTCTTTAATAATGTTATGCACTGTCCGCTTAGATACAGATAAGGAAAGTATAGGAATCATGATTTATTTCGACCTCGAGTTTTCAAAGGATTTTTACGTTTTGGGGTGTCCCTGAATCCGTTTTGACTATTTTCGCGATGATGTCTTTGACAAAATGAAAAAAAATCAAATTTTAATGAAAATTGTTTAAATAAAAGTTGTTTCTGATATTATTTTCTATAATTCTTGTTTTATACATAATTTCTCTAAAATGAACCGTATTCGAGATATTTCAGAAAAAGTGTAAATTTTGAATTTTGAAGAAAACTCAAAAGCGGATAAAGAAAAAATCATTAAATTTTAAACTTAAGCTTTATTCCGGTCTCCAGTGAACTGATTAGATTTTGGGCAGAGTCGAAATATCTGGGGGGGTACTTTATAGGTGGTTATTTTTATATTTTATGAAATATATCTGTTATTTACGTTTGGAGAAGAAAATTCTGTAAATAAAAGTTACTTACAATATTATTATCTATAATTTTTTATTTATACAAAATTTTCCTAAAATGATCCGTATTCGAGAAATTTGACAAAATGTAAAAAATTAATTTTTTATAAAAATTGTTCAAATAAAAGTTGTTTGTAATATAATATTTCCTATAATTTTTATCCTATACATAATTTCTTTAAAATGGACCGTATTCGAGATATTGGAGAAAATGTGTAAATTACGAATTTTGAAGAAAACTCAGAAACGGATGAAGGAAAAAATCATTAAATTTTAAACTTAATTTTTTTTCGGCCTGAGGTGGAATGATTAGATTTTTGGACAAAGTCGAAACATTGGGGGTACTTTGTAGTAGGTCGTTTTTATATTTTATGGAATATATCTGTTATTTATGTTTGGAGAAGAAAATTGTTCAAATAAAAGTTACTTCTAATTATTATCTTTAATTTTTGTTCTATGCCAAATTTTCCTGAAATGGTCCGTATTCGAGAAATTTGACAAAATGTGCAAAATTCTGATTTTTAAGAAAACTGTTAAACTAAAAGTTGTTTGCAATATCGATCTCTATAATTTTTGTTTATACATGATTTTTGTAAAATGGACGGTAATGGAAAAATTGGAGGAAAAGTGCTAAATTTTAATTTTTCAGTTTTGTTTTCAATGAATATCTGTAGAAAAATATTTTGAGTTAGATATATGTGGAAAATGTATACAGTGTGTCCGTAAAGTATGGAACAAATTTATTTTTAGCTAAGCAGACCATTTTAAGAAAAATTCCTGAAACACGTCGATTTTTGATTTTAATTTACCGTATTTCAAAATAATAATCTAATATACAAGGTGAATTACTTTCGAGTAATGACATCACCGTAATTTTTTTTAAATGGAACACCCCATTTTGTCTCAATTTTCGGATTACTCTAGCTGAGCTGATTCCAAAAATGTATCACATGTTGAATCCAATTGGTACAGGGTGGGCAAAAATACAATAGTTTTGTGTGTGCTCATAAAGTAACGCGTAACATTCTTTATTAGTTAAATTAACAATATTATCAAAAATACTTATTGTCTAGCGGACAGAATATGATGAAATACATGACTTTATAAATATTCGAACTGCAGCCCTTGCTGTATTTGACAGTAACCCAAACGGTGTACAAATTCTTGTTGAACATTGTTTATTGTGTCTTGAGAAATATTGTTTATTGTTGTCCGAATTCTGTCTTTTAATTCTTGAATATTTGCTGGTTTCGTTTGATACACAACATTCTTCAGATGGCCCCACATAAAATACCCCAACGGATTGAAATCTGGTGACCTCGCTGGCCATTCGATAGGTCCACGTCTACCATTCCACCTGTTCGGAAAAATTTCATCTAGGTACTTTCTAACATCTACAGCATAATATGGAGGTGCACCATCCTGTTGAAACCATAAACTTTCATCACAACCTCCAGGATTACGTCTGCTGGAAACAAATTACGTAAAGTAGGTACGAGATACCCCCTTAAAAACTCAAGGTACGTTGCCCCGTTTAAATTACCTTTGATAAAGTAGGGTCCGATGATTCAATTTCTTACAATTCCAGCCCATACATTTACCTTTTGCGGGTAT